TTTCAAGTGCAGCAGATATACTATATGGACATCCTACTTTTGCAAGAGACGAGAACAACTTAAATCGCCCCGTCACTCTTATTAATCGCAGTGAAGCAGGACAACAGTATAATAAGATTGGCTTCAGTTCCCTTGTAAGCTTTTGAATTTTTTGAAATTAATTTTGTTACTAACTAACTAAATCATGATTATTATATTCAGTGTTGTTTCGTGCCGCCCAACTTGACAGGATCCATTTGCGTTCGTATGCGGTGCAAGCCGACTAAAGTGGCGGGTTAAAGACACTTAGATAACTGTTCGACGACTGAAGTTTCACTTTTTAACTTAAAACCCCATTCGTAACTTTGTAAATTCCTTTTTTTTCTGTTAATTATCAAGGTACATGAAACAAATCATGGATCATGATTGACCAACTGTAACGTTCGCGGGTGCATGTCCTCTGAAGGTAAAATTCCTGCTGTAAAGCATCACAGGTTGCAAATTAGGCTTTAATTGTTATGTAAAATTGTTATATACCTAGACTTTTACTCAACAAAACATCAGGACTCACAGGAAAACGAAAGTAACTGTTTCCCTCGGGACCATGCAGTAAGGGTATAATGTTTCCTTCTTTCTTAGCGTCTTGTGGTTACCTGATTTGAAAAGTTTCTTGAGATTTAAATCATAAAGTAGAGCGGGGAGTTTCACCTGTTACTGTGGTTCCATAAACGACAGTTCATCCATGATAATATTATTATTGCAAGCTGTGATGCTCTTAAGCAGGAATTTTACCTTTAGAGGACATGCACCTGCAAACGTTGCAGTTGGTCGATCATGATCAAGTCTCAGTGAACTCAGTTGAACTCACACCGTGTTACCAAATGATATGTTTGCTGATAAGACTCTGGTTTAGGTTCAAATTAAAAGAGTACCCTCAACAGCATCAAGAGTAATTTAAATATTTCATCTCATGGTGCACATATTTGTTACAAGGAAACTTGTAGAGTAAAGATCTCTGTGAATCACCGAAAAGCCGAACAAATTTGCAATTTATGCCAATCCTCCCTTTCCTTGATTATCTTCTCTCTTATTTGTTTGACCCAATAACCGAACATTTCATGATTTCTTTCCATGTAAGGTAATTGATTCCCCATATTAAGTTATTCGAAAATTGAAAGTTAACTCCTTTACCTCCTCATTGGATCCATGCTGTTCGTTTGTGGCTCGATCGTCTCACGGTTAGCACTGGACCTTTTTAGCTGCAAAGCGTTTTTGTATATTCCCAAAAGTACAAGAGAGCAATCCTGAGATTCGTTGCTTTCAAATTTATAAACATTTGAAAGTGTGTTAATATTTTATGTTTGTGTGAAAGAAAAGTCGATGCATGAATTTAAGAACTTGAAAAGTAGCTCTACGTGGAGTAATGGTTGTGGCGAATGATATATAACTTACAAGCTTATAGACCCATGTAACCTAACCATCTGGTCCGGAAATAATCCACACTCTAGTGTGAAATTACAGAAAATTAAACGAACGAATTCGCAGCATCAAAAGAGAGCTATTGGTATTCATGAGATACAAATTAGCATGAGCAGTTTTTTTTCTGCAATTCTTTACCGTAGTTGTCAGGTTGTCAAGGATCCTTCTCGGTTTTCATTACTGTATTTCAAATAACAAAACATTTGTTTCTTTGATATTATTCGTATATGTTTAAGTTTCGAAATTTATCGAGAGGTAAAGATAATAACCGTGCAAAATTCTTGGCATGCTTGAACAATGCAGAAAGATGAAGTTGATTGCAAGACGTTTAAATTAGTCGGATTATAACACTTGCAAATAATCGAATGATTTATTCGTGACAACTCTGAATATACGAGCTAAGGAAAGAGAAGCGCAGAGCAGAGCATCCAAACATCTTAGGTTCGATTCCTCGCGAGAACTCAGATCTTCAGTAAGCCCACGCTCGTGACAAGACGAAAAAAAATAAACCTTTATTGCACTCAAAACATTTTAATCACCTATGCTAATTAAGTCTGATCTAAATACTAGGGACTGAGAATTTAAAAATAATGCAAATACTAAATGAATTGATACAAACGATGACGTATGATTTGTTAGGTAGTCAAGTAATATGACTTTCACCTCAAACGCAACAATCACGCGTCGGGGGACAATACAAGATAATGTAAGTTGGCCACCGTAAAGAGTTTCTAAAACTCCTCTTTACCGTGGCTAATTTACATCATCAACTAACTCAGTTGATAAAACCAAAAGATCTCGTGAGGAATAGTTCGCTATCAATTTTTTGTAACCTATACTTATATAGAAATCTTGCGTTGAGTTACAGGTCACTGTAAGAACCTCAAAGTGTCAAGTAAACCTGAATATTCAGCCTGAATATTAGTAAACAAATCATGAACAACACTACGGTTCAACGAGAAGGGCTTTGCTCTCAAATGGCACCAACGCTGTTTACTGTTTTATCCATCATCAGCTTGGGAGCTTTAATTGGTAACAGTCTTGTAATTGTTACCTTTTACAAAACACGAAGCTTAAGAACAAGCACTAACTACTACCTTGTCAACATGGCGGTGTCCGACCTTATTTGCGCATGCTTCAACTGGCCGCTGTACGCAACTGAAGGAATGCTGAGCGGGTCAGAGTTTATCACTGAGCCTTTCGCGTCAGTCGTTTGTAAACTAGGATTGTACTTCAGAGGAATATCACAAATTGTGTCTGTCTTGAGCTTGGTTCTAATTTCTGTGGACAGATACGCCGCTATTGCTCTCCCTCTGAAGACTACGATGCTGTGCAGGAGAAAAGTCCGCCTAATTTTGCTGTTTTCTTCTTGGATTTTACCAGTTGTTTGTGGTCTTCCTTACTTATTCTACACAAGGGTTGTTAAACTGAACGGACCAGTATTTTGCCGAACTGTTTGGAGCAAATCACTGAACGCAATCTACATCGGCGTTGGGTTTGTTATTTTCTACTGTGGTCCACTCCTTGCAATAATCATATTTTACACTCTGACAATAAAGATATTACGGAAACGTCCAGTCGCTTTAGAAGAAAATTTGCCAAGTAAAATTTATGACAAAAGGAAGAAACAGAACGAGAAGGTCATAAAATTCGTGATCATAATCGTTGCGGGCTTTTTTATTTGTTGGACTCCCCTCATTGTTTATCTGGCTTTGAAGATGTTTCATCCAGAACTCTTCCCGAAAGATGTTTGTCTGATATTTGTCTCTTCTATGTTCTTCCATCTTTGAGTACCGCCATAAACCCTGTCATCCTTCTCCTGCTTAGTTCAAACTACCGTAGGGCACTGAACGACTTAATTCTTTGAAAAAAGTCTTGGAAGGCCGTCTGTCATATTTGTCAAGAAGGAGGACGCGCTCATCGAAGAACAATACCATTTCCTATGAATCGAGACTGTAGAACTACGATGTTAAGAAAATCCAAAATCAGAAAAGAAAGGGAGTGACACATAGAGACAGACTCTTGACAAATCCTCGTGTTTGTGGCTTCGGTCTGAGTACTATAAAATTTGTATTTAATTAATTTACGTGTTCTTATGCAAATACACATATGGTCAAATATATATCCAAATTGCTCTCCGTCATTGCTATATTCGCCATTTTTTTACCAGTCTGAAGTAATTGAAATCCCAAATCCCAGTTCTTAATGTAATAGGAAAAAAGATGGTTTTAGCTCTCGTAAGCCACCAATATCGGGAACTCAAAAAAGAGGTATTAACTATAGCAGATAGCTTACGGTAGCGCTCTTAGACATAGGCCCCACGCCATGAACGATAGAGTGTGATCTGTTACGAGAGCTTTACTCTGATTAGCTTAAAACTTGTGAACTATAACTAGCTATTAATAGTCCAATATTTTTGCCTGTTTCAGGTTCACAAACGTGCAGTAAGCTCAGTAATCCACAGGGATCGAAAAATACCCAGAATCACGTAACAGACAACAACTGTGTTTCATAAATGAAAACAACTTCCTTATCAGTTTCAACAACACGAAACTCGTCACATTTTTTGGACGGTTTTCAATACCTGTTAGTTTTTTCCTCACTTATTCGTTGTCATGATTCTTGTTTGTTTAGTGTTACCTACTTCCGTTGTCTCCTTCCTTCTCCTGTTTCTCGTTACCTCGTTTTTCGTTTGAAATCTTCCTGGCGAAGCAAGAAGTTCTACCTAACCCCCCTCGTTTCATTTAATGTTACGATTCCCGTGGCAGAAGAAAAAAAAAACATCGGCCATCAAACAATAGTATATAAATTTCAGGTATAAAAATGGTGGATAGCAAACAAATATTTCACATGTAAAGACTTCCTGTTAGACTCAGTTCTAGGAACGATAGTGAAAACCAGTTCAAGATGTCCTTTAAAAGCATTTTCGCCTGCAATTTTAGCTCTGATGACGATATGCGAAGTTGTGCGTGATCAAAATATGATGTTGTCGTATGAGTAAGCATGGAAAATGTTAATGGCCAATTAAGAAAATTAAAATTGACATACAGTAAAATTGCGCTTGCTACTGTGGTTGGTTCAGCTTTTGGAAGAGCAGAGGCAATTTTCTTTTCATTTTTTCACATTCAATTTCTTAATACGCGTTTGTTCAAAGCTTTGAAAACTCTCTTGAGGTGACAGGTATGGTGAGTTTACTTTCGACCCCTTTTAATTTCCTTTTATTCAGTTCAAATGACCTATTATTTGTTAAAGAATGAAAACCTTTTCCTATTATTATTATTTCCTATTATTCTCACAACTAAAGCGAAAAGCGAGAGCAATCGTAAAGCAATTATGAAAAGAGACTCCTCACAACTAGAAAAAAAACCAATCAGTTAAATAAATGTATTCCCTTGATGATTGATAGCTGAGAAGGAAGTAAGGAAATATGCTAATTTTTGTGACACTGTTATAAAAGGAGAATGTTATATGATAATAGAAAGACAAATATCGCTGGTGTAAGATATAAATACATCGGGGAAACGTGATTTACAAAAGGATGTTGAGTCGCTTCGCGTCGAAATCTCCTGGCTAAGATAACAGACGACTGTGATGAGGTGGGTGCCTTTAGTTTTGTATTATCTTTAGAGGATATGTAATGAAAACGAGGGTTAAAATTAATAAGAAGCGTTATTTAGTTGCTAAATGAACTACGAAAAAGGGCGACATCGTTATTTTAGACTTTGGTTCATCTAAAGTTGGTTGTATACTTGATCGTACTGCTTCTTGATTAACGTAACGCAATCGGTTTTCAGTAGGTGACCTCTGAAACTTGGCTATTTGTAAGATCGGACAGTCTTGACTTTAGTTAGTTCGATCGTCACCTCAACAGTCATTTGGTTGCACTTTGTTTGAGAAGATTGTCGCGCTTTGTAACTCTTAACGTACTTGGTGTAAGTTCGAAGTGTGACATCTTTTTTCTCCTTAATGATACAATGGCGTAGAAAAACGGTAGATGTTAGCTAGCGAGGTTCTGTCGCACTTTGAAATGATCGTTTACCGAGCTCAAAACTTGCCATCTCTCTTATTCTATCTAAAGACTTGTTGTTTCTTCCTTTTGTAATTAATTCATTTGTACGTTTTCTTTGTTGTTCCCACAGTTCAGCATTTGCGAAACGTGTAGCAATGAATATTTCCAGTTTTTCTACGCCTACTTCGAGTCACCCCAGTCCAAGCCAACCCTGTTCTAACGTGGTGTCCACGCTATTTACAGTTATTATATCCATGGTCACACTCGCGGCTCTGATTGGCAACGTTCTCATCATTGCAAGTTTTTTCAAAACTCCCAACCTGAGGACGAGGACTAATTATTATATAATCAACATGGCCATGTCTGACCTCATTTGTGCATGTTTCAGCTGGCCACTTTATGCAGTTGAAGGAATGCTGACAAGAGCTGAGTTCTTCAACCAACACTCAGCCTTAATTCTCTGTAAACTGGGAATTTGCTTCAGGGCAATTTCACAAATAGTGTCCGTGTTATGCTTGGTTCTAACATCCGTCGACAGATATGCGGCTATCGTTCACCCAGTAAAGATAACGGTAATGAGTAATGGCAAATTTCGAGTTATTTTACTGTTGTTTTCTTGGATCATTCCTGTTTGCTTTGCTTACCCATATTACACGTTCGCTGAAATTGTGAAGGTAAATAACCAAACATTCTGTAGAGTAGTTTGGAGTACATCAGCTCACACAATTTTTAATGCTGTTGGATTTGTTATATTTTATTGCATGCCTCTTGCTGGTATAACCATTCTCTATACTCACATCACAAAGACACTTAAAAATCGTCCAAATATAGGAAACTCAGTCCAAGAAAAGCACATCAGAAGAAGACGAGATCAACATCAGAAAATAATGAAAATCTTAATATCGATTGTTGCCGGCTTCTTTACTTGTTGGACACCACTTTGCATTTATTTGGCATTAAAAATGTTTCATTCAGGGTTGTTTCTTCAAGATAAATGCTTCTTACTCCTAGGTTTGTTTTTCTACGTCTTTCCGTCATTCAGCACAGCAATCAATCCTATTATCCTTTTCCAGTTTAGTTCAAAATTTCGACAGGCGATGAAAAGCTTTCGTATTCCTTTTCTTGATTTCAATAAATGTCGCCGGTTTCTGTGCATACCCAAGAATAGGGTTGGATCAGTTGAAATAGATCATGTTGGTAAGGCAGAGTTAAGCTAGATGTCTCTCATATTTGACGGATTTGGAAAAACACTGATAATAAATAACTGGTCATAGCAGAAAAAGCCACGAGATTGCAACAATTCAGCAACAAAAAGCTGTAGTTCAAAAAAGAGAATGGAAACTTCTCAATCTTACAAAGATTGCAAAACATTGCGCAATGAAATAAAATGTATAAAAAGTAGACTTCAATTTGGCGTGTTATTATTGTTAATTACAACCATGATACAGTGAATAATGATCAGTCTTAAAGTTAATAACTTAGTTTTCCAGTATCAGCCGGGAAATCTCACGAAATAAGAAGTGGTCGGCCTGAATCCGATAATGCTTGTAAAACATTTAATGTCAAAATCATGTCTCTATATGTTAGGGATATACTTTTGTATTTAGAATTGTTAAGATGTCAAATAAATAAAATGAATTACGTTTACGTATTCCATCTCAACCCTAACTTAATCACTCCTGCCTAAAAGGAAAAGGTACTGGGTAGAACGTAAACTGGAAACCCGTTTTCAAAAAAGTATTTTTGCATAGACATTTGCAAAACCTCTTTCCCATCAGGCAACAACATTCTAATCACATTTTATAACAGATGTCAAATGACAGTGATCAATAAGTTTGGTCAGAGATAACGAGGTAATGACATGTATTCTTGTGTTCTCTTGAGGAAAGAAATCGTAAGAAAAGAACCACAGAAAATGAAAAGTAGCATCTTTCATTGTCTCAACATCAAGCTTATGATGTGATACCTGTGAGCTCAGTACAGCTGAGAGCGTTTAGTTGTTGTGACTTTGACGTGACTGAGTAACCTAACCAAAATGTTTCCTCTCCACAGAGCAGCCGTTAATGCTCACTTGATGTCATTTTTTTCCCACAGCACAATAACATGTACATCTTAGTGCAGTTATCTTATTTATTTCCACTTTTTTCTGATCCAAATGAGTTAAGAGTCGTTTGCGAAAAACAAAGTCCTTCGAATATATACCTAATGCAATATAAAGTTAAAGTAAATTTTACTTTGTAGCATGAGGATATTAGACCTGTTATGGTTTTAAATGACAGAGCTAAAAATTATTCATAATGCGGACTCCCTGTCAATTTGTTTGTTCTTAATCGTGCACACATTCATACATCCAATAACATGACGAGAATTGGCTGACAATTTCATCTGTATTTCGAACCATATACAGAGGTGTCAATATTCTCGTTCTTTTGCGCCTCAAGTTTTGCGGATTGATATCAATACATCATTCGGTTAAGCTGTAAGTAAGCGGTAAGTCACAATTTGTACGAACTTGACATGAGAGAGCATCAATTTGGGAGATATTTTTTCTTTGAATCAGAGATTTCGTCTCGACGTTGCCTTTTTCCTATATATTTAATTTGTATATCAGTTCACAACTCTGTTTTCTTTTTCTGCGAATTCAATTAAATGCCAATTTTTGGTTACTCATAAGTTTCATGTTTGTCCTTGTTGACACACCATAGTGAAATATCGATTCTTAGAAAATTGTCCGCTGAAAATATGAGCAGGTGCATTAGGTGTAGGACTGAAAATTCAGTATTTCCTCTCAACCTAAAAAAAGTTCCAGCTTTAAAAGAGTTTCAGTTAAATAACATTTCATTTTTTATCTTTTTGTACAAAGGCAGTCCTACAGGGAAAATGAAAACATGGATAAAGCCATTCTTTAGGGTGTTAGAGACGCAAACGTGACTTAAGAATCTAACCTAATTAATGCAATAACTGTCTGTTAGGGTTCTTTTGATCACGAAATATCTCAGTGTTATAACTGAGGTAAGATTTCTTTACATTTTCTGTAGCCTTATCCCGTGTGTAAAATCAATACGTAACAGGATGTTGATCCTTGGAATGTTATCATTTTTAAGCGAATAAAAAAAAAATCGAAGAACGTGTTATGTACATTATGTTTGCGACAAATTTAATTTGCGTTAAAATATTGCACTCGCTCAATGGTTCACGTAGGTCAAACGTTTTGGAGTTTTAAATGCAGTTGAAGCCCAAATTATATCTAAGAATAACATCAATATTTCTTTCACGTCTCTTACAGTTTGCTATACTTCAATGGACCAAAACTATTTGACAATTGTCGCAGTTCCAGTTTAAATATGATGTGCAATTTACTGTAGATATTTGTCATAAATAATCCCCAAACATCACATGTGGATATGTTGATCAAAAGTAATGAACATTTATTTCGGCCTTTGTCCATTTCTGAACTCTATGAAGTGAGTTTTCAAGAGACGTTTGCCGCGATGTAGTTTGCGAAGCAAAAAGTTAGCCGTTCTGCTCCATGGTGGATGTCCTTCGTGATATCCTAGAAATTTCCCGTTTACAAAAACTGCGGAACAAACTAGAAACACCACCATTCTTGACATTGTTAATAGGATAAATCAAAGTTACCTTTCTCAACCTATGCATTGAGTTGAAAACGTTCTCCAAAGGAAAGATATTTTCTTGCAGGGGTTAAGGTTAATACTAACTTTCTCTGGGTTAAAAATCACCATTTTGTATCCTGAACTTTTGATTTATGACATTTGCAAATTACAACGAGAGAACGTTTTTCCTCAAGCAGTTTATTGATATCTCGGTTATATTTAAGCTTATAAATGCTTCTTAACTTTTTCAGTCAAGTGGGAATTGTGAAGCCATCCAACAGAGCGGTTTGCAACAAACAAACAAAACATTTTCCAGAAGACTGAGCTTATCATGATAAACAACTACAGCCATACGATGATGAATTTCAGTGATAGTGATTCACAATGCCCTGACGCTATTTCTATATTTTTCACAACATCTACGGCTTTCCTAAGCATGGTTGCTGTACTTGGAAATATTCTGGTGATCGTTGCAGTGTACAAAACTCGAAACCTTAGGACAAGTACTAATTACTACTACGTCAACATGGCCATTTCTGATTTCCTCTCAAGCCTCACCATTTGGCCGCTTTATCTTTCAAACGAGATCATAACGAGCAGAGGAAGTCTGTTTAAAGGGTCTCTGGCCACTGCTGGTTGCAAAGTGGGAGTATTTTTCAGAATGACGTCAGTTATTGTGTCAATACTGAGCCTGGTGTTGATCGCTGTGGATAGATTCATCGCTACCGTGTTCCCATTAAAATCAACGTTGGTCACTGGGAAAGTCAGAACATTTCTGCTGTTTGCGACATGGACGATATCAATGGCATACTGCTTCCCGATGCTGTATTATTCCAGAGCCGAAGACTTTGGTCAAGAAACTTATTGCAAATTTGCATGGAATAGCAATGCTCTCATGATATATTACATAACTGGTTTGGCGTTGTTTGAGATTGCACCGATCATTGCCATTGTCATTCTTTACTCGCGGGTTATGGGTGTTTTGTATAAAAGGATTAAACCAGGAACTGGTGCGAGAGACAACAGTTCTTATCAAAATCGGAGAAATGAGCAAAACCGAAACATTTTGAAGATATTCAAATCAATCGTTGTTATGTTTTTCATTTCTTTTTCTTTCTTTTTCGTTTATTTGATTCTTAAGATGACATTTCCTGAACTTTTCGTCAAAGACAAATGTAAGTGGATTCTTGGGTTCGCTTATTTTGTGTTTCCGTCGCTCAGTTCAGTAATTAATCCAATTATTTTGTTTGCATTCAGCACGAATTTCCGTCAAGCCCTGTGTAGATTGTAGATGTTTTCTCTCGGGAGATTCTTCTTTTGTGGCAGAAAAGAGGAAAGTGAACGAGTTTTCCCGGCCCTTGATACTTTGCTTTTAAGGATAAAGGAAAAGACTATGAGCGATTTTTGGATAGAGTAAGAAGAGGACGATGTTCGATGAGTACCGTGCTGACAAAACTAGATTTCAACGTCCACACCGTTTCTGCTTACATTTGTAAACAGTGCCACGGTTGTCGAAAAAAGTTGGATCATTTGTCGCAAAATCTCAAGTTTTTTTAACACTGAGATTTCTTCTCGCTGCAAGAAACAACTAGCTTTAACTTAATAGCTTCGCAGCACCGTTCGCAAAGAAACCGAAAGTTATAAGCGGACAATCTTCTTGGCCCAAGTCCACTGAGATAGCGCACCTGGCCTTCTACAAGAGCTTTAACTGGCGGTTCCATAAATATAGTGACTGGTTTCATCTAGAGAGAGAGGCGATCGATCACTGGCGCTGCTTGATATGTTAAAGATTTTCTATAGCCAGTTGGTTACGAAACGGAGACATCGTTACCTTCGAAAAACATATCTATGGCTTTCTGCCGTTCTTCTCGGAGTGTCTCAAATATCCCAAAAGTCGCGCAAACTTGCCTTAAAACCTCGTCGTATATCGCTGTTGTCTGAAAAGTTGACCATGAAAGCGTTTTGTTTGCCAGTTCGTTAGAATGAAAATAAATTGCCAAATCTAGCCAATCAGATTTGACGAAAGAATCGACAGAAGGGGCTAACCAATAAAAAGTTATTATAAATTTTCCTGCAGAAGAGTGACGTCAGGGAACATGATTAGTGTCAGCTTTGCGTAGACGTTGCCTCGCCTCCGTTTCACCTTAGTCGGGGGAAGGTAACGGCTACACGTAGGCTATGAGCTCAGTAACGTCATAGCTGACGGCGTTTATTTGTTTTGACTTAAACGTGACTGAGTAACCTACCCCTGTCATCAAAATGTTCCCTCTTTGCAAAGCAGCCGTTAATGCTCACTTGATGTCATTTTTTTCCCACAGCACTATAACATGTACATCTTAGTGCAGTTTTCTAATTTATTTCACCTTTTTCTGATCCCAATGAGTTAAGAGTCGTTTGCGAAAAACAAAATCCTTCAAATACATACCTAATGAAATATAAAGTAAAAGTAAATTTATAGCGATGTCAATCATAGTAAACTATAAGGAGATTTGAAAAGAAGATTCTCAAAACAGGAAAACTGCCACTTAAAAACTCTAGCGACACATGCGTCACCTATAAATCTCAAAGGGGAAATGCAAGGAGAAAGCATATATCAGACCTGTTATGGTTTAAAATGACAGAACTAAAAATTATTCATAATGCGGACTCCCTGTCAATTTGTTTGTTCTTACTCGTGCATGACTAACATCAATGGATCCAATAACATACGTGAATTAGCTGACAGTTTCATTTATATTTCGAACCACATAGAGGTGTCAATATTCTCGTTCTTTTGCGCCTCAATTTTAGCGGATTGATGTCAATACATCATACCGTTAAGCTGTAAGTAAGCGGTAAGTAATTTAAGATATATTTTCTCTTTAAATCCGCGATTTTGTCTCCACGTTGCCGTTCTTCTACAGTGTATGCTCCAGTTCATAACTCCATTTTCTTTTCCAATTTTTGTTTATAAGAAACTCATGGGTTTCAATTTTTTCCTTGTTGACACACCATAGTGAAATATAGATGCTTAGAAAATTGTCCGCTAAAAATCTGAGCGGGTACATTAGGTGTAGGACTGAAAATTCAGTATTTCCTCTAAACCTAAAAAAAAAAAAGGTCCAGCTTAAAAAAAGCTTCAATTAAATAACATTTCATTTTTCTTCCTTTTTTTGGACGAAAGCAGTCACAAAAGCAAAAAGAAAACATGGAGAAAGCCATTCTTTAGGGTGTTAGAGAGCGCAAACGTGACCTGACAATCTAAACCTAATTAATGCAATATTGCTACTGTGCCAACTGTTCGTTAGGGTTCTTTTGTTCACGAAATATCTCGGCGTTATAACTGAGGTAAGATTTCTTCACACCTTTTGTAGCCTTATCCCGTGTGTAAAATCAATACGTAACAGAAGTTGATCCTTGGAATGTTATCATTTTTAAGCGAATAGAAAAAAAAAATCGAAGAACTTATTATCTCCATTATGTTTGCGACAAATTTAATTTGCGTTAAAATATTGCACTCGTTCAATGCCGGGTTCATGTAGCTTGAACGTTTTGGAGTTTTAATTGCAGTTGAAGCCAAAATTATATCTAAAAATAACATCAATATTTCTTTCACGTTTCTTACAGTTTGCTATGGTTCAATGACCCAAAACTATTTGACAATGTCGATGTGCTCGTTATTTCGCAATGGTCATTAGAACTCATTCGCAAGTTTGTCGCAGTTCCGTTCAAATATATTGTGCAATTTACTGTGGATATTTGCCATAAATAATCCCCAAACATCACATGCGGATATGGTGACCAAAATTAATGAACATTTATTTCGGCCTTTATTATTTTGTCCATTTCTGAAGTCCGTGAAGTAAGTTTTCAAGAAACGTTTGCCGCGATGTAGTTTGCGAAGAAGAAAGTTAGCCGTTCTGCTCCATGGTGGATGTCCTTCGTGATGTCCTAGAAATTTCCCGTATACAAAAACTGCGGAAAGAACTGGAAACACCACCATTCTCTACATTGCTTTTAGAAGGAATCAAGGTTACCTTTCGCAGGTTAATCGTTTTGTTGAAAACCTCCTCTAACAGAAATATATTTTCTTGCAGGTGTAGGCATGGACTGCCATTTTACTATTCATGTAATGCTTAATGTTGGGTTAAAAATCCCAATTTTATCTCCTGAACTTTTGATTTATGACATTTACAAATTACAACGAGAGAACGTTTTTCTTCAAGCAGCTTATTGATATCTCGGTTATATTTAAGCTTATAAATGCGTCTTAACTTTTTCAGTCAAGTGGGACTAATTTTGAAGCCATCCAACAGAGCGGTTTACAACAAACAAACAAAACATTTTCCAGAAGACTGAGCTTATCATGATAAACAACTACAGCCATACGATGATGAATTTCAGTGATAGTGATTCACCATGCCCTGACGCTATTTCTATATTTTTCACAACATCTACGGCCTTCCTAAGCATGGTTGCTGTACTTGGAAATATTCTGGTGATCGTTGCAGTGTACAAAACTCGAAACCTTAGGACAAGTACTAATTACTACTACGTCAACATGGCCATTTCTGATTTCCTCTCAAGCCTCACCATTTGGCCGCTTTATCTTTCAAACGAGATCATAACGAGCAGAGGAAGTCTGTTTAAAGGGTCTCTGGCCACTGCTGGTTGCAAACTGGGAGTATTTTTCAGAATGACGTCAGTTATTGTGTCAATACTGAGCCTGGTGTTGATCGCTGTGGATAGATTCATCGCTACTGTGTTCCCATTAAAATCAACGTTGGTCACTGGGAAAGTCAGAACATTTCTGCTGTTTGCGACATGGACGATATCAATGGCATACTGCTTCCCGATGCTGTATTATTCCAGAGCCGAAGACTTTGGTCAAGAAACTTATTGCAAATTTGCATGGAATAGCAGTGCTCTCATGATATATTACATTACTGGTTTAGCGTTGTTTGAGATCGCACCAATTATTGCCATTGTCATTCTTTACTCGCGGGTTATGAGTGTTTTGCAAAAAAGGATTAAACCAGGAACTGGTGCGAGAAACAGCAGTTCTTATCAAAATCGGAGAAATGAGCAAAACCGAAACATTTTGAAGATATTCAAATCAATCGTTGTTATGTTTTTCATTTCTTTTTCTTTCTTTTTCGTTTATTTGATTCTTAAGATGACATTTCCTGAACTTTTCGTCAAAGACAAATGTAAGTGGATTCTTGGGTTCGCTTATTTTGTGTTTCCGTCGCTCAGTTCAGTAATTAATCCAATTATTTTATTTGCATTCAGCACGAATTTCCGTCAAGCCCTGCGTAAATTGTGGATGTTTTCTCTCGGGAGATTCTTCTGTGGCAGAAAAGAGAAAAGTGAACTAGTTGAAGCTGGTGGCCTTCCAGCAGAAGAAACTGGATTTAAGTCAATGGCGCACTGAATATATATGAACGAGGGATTTAATTACAGCGATACAGTTTGCAGATTTGTTTAAAACATTATGTCATGAATTTACTTTTGATTTCCTATGGGGATATTTAAAAATTAAGTTGAGTAATATTCTTAAGACACCGTGGTCCGCGTTTTATCATTTAATTTTAGCACAGCTTCTTGAATAAAGTTGTCTATTATTTTTCCTCAGACAGAGTCTTGAAAAAGATCACGTTTGCTTTTAAGTAATGTACTGTGTCCAGGACTTATCATACATGGAATATCTCACACACACTTCCAAATTATGTAATGATAATTTCCCTTTGTCTAAATTACGCTTTTGGCTGACACTTCTAAATCACACAATATTTAAGAGCACTTTGGTTTTATAAAACTAAAACCAAAGTAATCCCGACGGCCAAAATCAGAAGGAAAGAAAATACCCCTAAGAGCCAATGAGAACTCAAAGTAAAAACTACCAAACTATCTGCAGCGGGAGAACGTGGGCGATCAATTCATGATTGGTTTTAGTTTTGTATCTGATTAGTTGAGAAGGTGGTGCAAGTTTTCTGGATCAATCACAGAGTGAAGAAAAGCATAACCTACACAATCTCGGATTACTCACGACACTCAATTGAACATTGTTCCTTGCTTCTAGCGTACAACTCCAAATCACACAGACTTAAATTGTACTTTGACACACCCTCCAAGTTGCATTAGAGCTCTTCCTTGTGGAACACACTCGAAATTACATTAAGGTTCCCTTATGCTTTAGGCAAACACTCCCAAGTCATATCGCTCTTCATGAGAGACACTTCTACATCACACAAGATATTATACTAGAGTACACACTTTAGAATCACACAAGAGATTTTGCTCCTAGCAGACTCTTTCACACAATCACACAAGAGTCTGTTGTTTGAACGGCGGAGTTTGACCGAAAATTCTCTCTGATTGAGAATTTTCAATGAATCATCATGGAGTTTCCTAAAGTTCATCATGAACCATGGCCAGCTTGAGGTCTTTGGCTATGTTAACAAAACCACCAATGCATTCATTCATTTTCATTTTCAGCCTTTTGTCTTTCTTGACGTCATTCATGTGAAGTACACAAATGGTGAGGTCATCGTAGAATCGGAAATAAAGCGATTTTGTCGTCAAGTCTTTGACAACAGACCAAACAGTGTAATCAAAGGACGTTCCGCGGGGTATATCAACGGTATTCAAGATGCGAAAAGCCTTGATAACTGCGTCTTTGCCTGTCTGGACTTGATCGGAAAAATGAGCCATGACAGCCGCGCGTACAAATCTTGATGGCGGTGTGAAGTCACCGGGTATTCCTAGGAGTCCACTTCCTTGGCCAGTAGCTTCGAACGTCATTTTGCCCAACACCAGAGAATCATGGGCCGATTTGGAAAGTTCAACATAATTGCGGACGTTCATTAGATGGAAATCATAGGGCGGGGAGTTGGTTAAGATGCCGAGAGTGTTGTCGAATACCATTCTCCCCTGTTCAGTAAACTCAATAACGATAGCATCCCCAGAAGCGTCCACGATGGAATAGTGAAGCTGAAGGATTTTCTTAACCTTTTCAGGAAGGTTAAACTCAAACACCAGAGGGAAAGTGTCCTTCTTCAAAGCATCCCTTAATTCCTGAACTGTCCCAAAGTTTCCAAGAATCCACAATGGAAGCTGCAAAGAAGACACCGCCATGTGGCATTTTTCGACCGGTATTTTCTGGAAATGGGCGAAGCCAACGAAGAGGTTTGCAGCAACAGAAAGACCAGCTTCATTAAAACCATCAGTCCAAAGCGTTGACGTATGCAATGCTATATTTATTTTTCCACTGTAGAAGCGATTGGGAATTAACGAAGCATTCTTTCTTAGGAATCGCTATATGAGGATACTGCTCAGGTTCTACAACGAGATCATACCCTACATCGAAGAACTCCATACTCCGACCGACGACCACCGAGTTATCTTCGGAAGTCAAGCGGAATTCGGTACAGGCGTTTGTAACGAAAAGCCTTAGCAGCAGCACGAGGACCATGGAAAGAACCTTCATCATCACAGCTCGCAAGAGGAGATCTAAACCAACAATTAAACCACATATAATGTAGTTCTACATAAATTTTTATAGGAAATTGCTGTCAGGTTTTGCAAAGAGGAATTTTAATCACGGGCTCCCTAACGTCGACACTTAAACGCTACTTTTTACAAGGTTGTGTTTTTTAACTTTTGAATAGACTTTACGGTAAAACTTTCCATTACTAATGATAGGGTGAAATGTTTTCACACACACTTTATTCAAACAATTTTATTTACGTCTCCTCTCGGCTTAATTACCAATTGGCTTGTTCGTGTTGTTTCTTCATTTGTTTCTAATTGTTTAACCTCCTTGGATGTTTTTGCTGCCGTTTGAAGATTAAACTACTTAAGTTGATTAAGTAGATACCTCGTTTCCTTTCTTTTGAAGACTTTTAAAATAGAAATTTAAGTATTCTTCTGATGACGACAAGCAAAGTAACGAGAAACTTTTTCATAAACAGGAAGTTTTAAGGCCCTGAGTTGTGATTTATTAGATGACGTCAGATCGACGTACTTAAGGTAAAAAGGTTGGCAGGGCTTAGCCGCAATGAATTATCATATGGAAAATCAAGTTGGTTTTGTCTATTAAAGTTTACTCTCTCAAGTTTGAGGCGCTTCGAAATTTTCAAAAGTAATTACTCAAGGCTTTTGTTTGAATCTCTTACATTTCTTCCACTAGGTAGAGAGACCCGGCTTTTGGGAACTTTAGTATTCTGTCTTAAAACTTTGCGAAGTCAGTTCAATGCAAAAACTGGTCTCACTTCATTGAACCACCATGGCTCTTGTACTGGAAATGCATTAACCTTATACTAAGGATGTGGATCATAGAAGACACTGAGTCATCGGAACTGACAAATAAATCCTTCAGGTTAATAAACATGTTAAATTGCTTAGTTTCTCTGGCTTTTCGTCAACTTTTTGAATTGATTTCAGTCAGTGTTATGGGCATTATTCAGTAGAACTGCTGTTAAAACTAATGCGGTTTATATTTGCCTACTGTTGTTTTTCCCGTTCAAGCAAATCTGTCTTTACAGTAATAAAATTGTTCCAACATTACACAGGAAGTTAATTCTCAACATCCCTCAAGCGATCCTTGGTAAAAGACCTTTTTCACCTAAACGAAGACAGAGTATTAATTTCTTTCTTCTACCCCACCGTTGAGCTACGTTTTCACGGGCATGCAGCCCATTGTAAGAGAGACTTGTTCGCGAGACATCTCTCTATACCAAAGGCATTGGTCTTTCCAAGGAACACGACGCGGCGAGTGAAAACTAGACTACTAACACCTACAGAAGACCAGTGGTGAATACTTTGTTAGAAGAAATATAACTTTGAGTCCTGCGAGTTTTGGAGAAATAGTCCACTACGATGTGTCGATTTTGCGCATTGAACTGATTTTGCAATTTGAATGGCGTCAAAGAAATCTCTAGAACTTCCGTTTTATATTTCAACGCACTCAAACTTGCGTAATGCTCTCTGCGTATGATCATGCAGTCCAACATTGTGCCTATTATCAAAGTCACAGAAATTAATAACACCCTATTACTCTGTCACATTGGCTCGGTATTTAAACTTATCAGTGTATCTGATTTCCACTACTCTACGTTCCTTTCTCTACTAGATTGAACCAACTTCAGCACTACAACGCTAAATTAATGTCGGTAAAATGATATTCATGTCGATGAACCAAGTCATTCCAGTTTGGTTTAAACCCTATACTCATGTAAATACTTTCTTTAGTCCAGTGAATTTGCATATACAGCTGATATAACCATGTCACAGTATTTGATAGTATTTGATAATATTCCCCTTTAAGCCAGGGGTCGTGACGCTATTACGCTGCGCACAATAAACTCACAAAATATCAAGAATCACTTTTTTTAAACAGTCAACTCTTAGTTGTTTGTGTTTAACCTTTATGACGACAGTCGAAGGATCGCAGGTGTGGTGTCGATATTTTTTGTGTTTAGGCCTCCGTTCAGACCAAGAAATGGATAATTCTAGTCGCTATGTTCTCGAGAATCAGTCCACTTGTTCTCCCATCGTTTCTGCTTTGATCACAACAGCTATTTCTGTTGTTAGCATTTTTTCGTTGGTCGGCAATATTTTGGTGACTGCAGTTTTTCTTACCAACAAAACCCTTAGGACAAGTACAAATTATTTCATTGTTAACATGGCCGTTGGGGATCTATTGTCCGCTGTGAGCACATGGCCGCTGTACGCCACTGAGGGGATGCTGTCAGGAAAACATTTGATCGATGATCCAGTAGCCACAGCTGTTTGTAAAATAAGTCTGTATTTCAGAGGCGTGTCACAGGTTATTTCAGTTTTCAGCTTAGTCGGTATAGTCGTGGAGAGGTTCGTTGCTGTAGTTCATCCACTTAAGGCTAAAGTTCTGATGGAAAAGACTCGACCCCGAGCTGTTTCATTGGCACTGACTTGGATCATCCCGTTACTACTAGCTGTACCATACCTCAGATTCTTACGGATCGTTAGGCTTAATGAGAATCAACCACTCTGCTCGCTTTCGTGGGAAGCGGAGAACCGCTATGTATTCTATGCTATTGGATTTGTTATGTTCTACTGTACCCCCCTGGTTTTGATCATCATTCTTTATACCAAGATCATAAAAAGTTTGAAGCGATCAAGACGCGTCACTGATGAGCAGGACCAAGCGCTGAATAAGATAAGAACAAGAAATCACAAACAAAACCAGAATATTATGAAGGTCTTTGCATCAATTGTCGTGGTCTTTTTCGTCTGCTGGACTTCAATTGTTGTATATCTAATATTACTTGAAGCAGTTTACCCATCACAAGACAGAGACTCTTGTTTGCTTGTACTAGGTTTGTTATTTTACATATTGCCATCTTTACCAGCGGCAATCAACCCCATAATACTTTTCGTGTCGAGCACAAATTTCCTTACTGCTCTGAAAGATATGTTCAATCGTTTTTCGTGTATAAAGTTGTGGACGAGAGGCTCTCATTGAACTTAATTTCATGATGAACAAGGTGTGAGGATTGTACTTTTCAAATCAAATCAAATTTGAACGAAAGCTTCTAAATAAAATAGACAGGACATTTAAATTACATTAATACAAAAATTCTCTCGGCCATAAGCAGGAGAGTGACTTTTCTTTACCTTAATAAAGGCGGACTGAAATGCTTCACGCAATATCCACAAATATTTCCCGCCCACAAAGCATTTCACGTGTTTGTACAAAAATACGAAAAAAATAACAAAAAGCTTTGTCCGAGTTTGGCTTTCTGCATTTTACAATTTTATTTAACGTCATCTCATCTCTAGAGTCATCACCAGAACGTGCGATTTTGTTTGCCATTTGTACATATAGAAATGAGCTTGAAATGAAGCCTTTGATGTGAAAATGTAAAAAAAAAAATTGATGGGGTTAACTTGATTACTTCAACGACATATTACATGAGCACGGTTATTTCCATCATTTAATGAGTTGTAACGGCGCTGAGAGGTTGTAGTTTTTCAGTTCAATATTTCAAATGACATAATATAAACCGAAGATCATGTTTAAGCCTCGAACTCCGCTACTTTTGCGCTTCACACGAAAGATGAAAAAGTGTCAGTTTGCCATAACACCATTAGCAGACATATCTCGATAATATCAAATCGGTGGCCAGAGACCGCTTTTCACAGTAGTGACATACTCGAATAGCTTGAAAGATAAGTTCAATATACGTACTAGCAAATATTTACGGGAAGTTGCATCACAGGTATTAACAACAACACGTCAGTTTAGGAACTGAGTCACGTTATCTCGTACGTGCCGGCTCTTTCGCTAAGAAGTTATTTTATTATTAAAATAATTCTTCTTCAGGAAAATTGGGCAAAGCTGGAATGTAATCCTAAACGCCTGGAATTAGGATACCCGTTCAGATGGTAATTTTTTGTCATGGTTATATGACAATTTGTGTAGGATGCTGTGAAGAGGAAATTTTAGCCCATCATTAATACTGAGAAGCGGAAATTCTTGGTTTATTTCTTGTGTGCATATCTGCAAATTCAAATAAAATTTTAACAAAAATGAAGATTTTATCCATTCCAGTCAAAATATACATATATTCAAAACCGTTGCCATTTGAAAATACATCATGCAAAAATAAAACCTTCTTATAAAACCTTTCTTATAAAAAAGTGTCTCTTTTTCATAAGAAAAGTAAAGGAATATACGTAAATATATATATTTAATACATATTTTCAAATTTACAACATTCTTGAATACGGGTGTATATATTTTTGTCTTCACAATTGTTACTTCTGTTTGATCAACTTCAAAACAGCCCACCTGCCATGTAAGCAGGAAAAACAAGTACGGCAATGAATCAGCAATTTCTTGGTTGTCACGACCGACCCACATGAATTAAAAACTACGCTTTAAGCTTGAGATTTCAAACGCATGATAGTTGACGAAGGTGAAGCTTGAAAAAAGTATCACGCACAGAAATCGAGAGCGAATAATCGAATTTTTCCTGAATAATTCTTCTAGGTGTTGAAAATCTAACATGACAATATCATGTTTTTATTTTATTTTGTTGACAACCACACAATGTTAGGTAACTTACTTTATTCAAATATTTAACTCGAAATAGCTGGCAAATAGCCAATCAGATTGCAGCATTTTCGGTAGAAAGCGAAGTAGAGCACAAGAACACGACATGCAATGTTCAAAAATACTCACGAACATTCTACTTTGGTACAAAAGAAGGGTTTTAAGTTATACCTTTTACTAAGGTTTAGCTATGTGACTTTAACTTTTGGGGCTTTCGTTTTCAAGTGAATTATTGGCGGATAAGTCACGTTTCTAGAGTGGGCGTGAATATTGTTATTCGTACAGATGTCTTGAGCGTCGAGATATTCTTTAAGCTTAAGTCCATATGTCCCTACAAAAATAAAATTATAACGATAAACAGGCCGAAGATGGTTTAACTTGAATAATTTACCCATTTATAACAAAAGATTAGGATGTTTGGGGAGTATTTTTCTAAAACGTATCTTAAAAAAAAACATCAGCCCTGCATAAACACATTTCATGACATGGATATTTCAAGTAAAAGCGTTTTTTAGATAAAATCATGTCAGTGTTGAACTCCAAACACTGCTGGCAGGCGAAAACAGTGAAATATGAAAATTCAGGCAAGGTATATCATTGGAACGTTATATTTCATTTAGATCAGTATTCCGTGAATTTTATTCAACAGAAGTCTATATTCAGATGTTGTTAATTTGGTTTACAATGTTCAGTTTGATGGTACGTGAATATAAATCATCTCCTCAAGTTTTATCAGCTGTCAAACAGGAAACTATTTGTTGTTTTTTCTAGACGAACTTTGCCTTTTTTCTCGCGTATTTTGATTTTACTAAATTTTGATGGAAAGGTCGCAAACAACTGTTCTTTGAGAAATTTGAGCAAACCTGGATATCAAAGAAACATCTTAAAGCACTTTCTATTTTCCGCATGGAGTTTTATCACAACTGTCAACAACAATGTGTCTTTCACTTTCAACCCATTCCTACTCCTTTTGAAGTCCCAAATTTTCAGCCATATTTTTAAACAGAACTACTTTTCTAGAAAATGGAGCTAAAATTGAGGGTTATTTTTAGATTATGTATTTTTTGTCATGGCAATAGCAGTTTAATTGCGTCATCTCTGGAGTCATGAGAATGACTGCGACGGCTTTGATCATGCAAACGTAATCAATCAGTTTTTCATGATTGCCGCTAGTGAGAATAAGTTTGACTCCCTTGTTAAAAAGATGCTGTTAAAACGCTGGTTAGCCTCAAGTAACGTTGCGCCAAGGTCTTTGTTTAATGCCTCATGGTATAAATTTCTTCAACCCTACTGGGTCTCCTGGCTGTCTTAGAATAATCATCATTCTCTTAAAAATGGCGTCATATGACACTGATACGTCGAGTTTTTAATATAAGTTTAGTATTTTGATACTTAAGAATTTTAAAAAACTTAATATTACATGGTTGGACTTACAACTTGGCAACGCCCAATTGCTGTTATTTTAACTGTTTTATTCGATCCGTGAACAACTTGCTAAATCGCTTCCACTAGAGCGACGATAATCAGAGAACTAATCAACAATATTGGGGCATGGTGTATAATGCCTTGGGAGTCGGCCTTCAATAGTGCAGCTGGACGCGCGTTCCTCCGCCCGACCAGTCGGGGAGAGGTTTGCTGAGGGTCTGGCACTAATAATCATTATCAGCGCCAGACCTCTCGCCTGCTCGCGTCGCTCCAGGCCTCTCCCTTTCCCGCGGGCAAAAAAACGCTCGTGCCGAAGAATTAAAAATGTGGGCCTGTTCGCAAGCTAGTTAAGTAGTTGATCCCTTGAACTTGGAGCAAACTTAGGACTTTGTCCACCAGAATTTTAGAGCTAATCCATACTAGATATTAAAAATCACTACATTATTAATTAAAACGAAATAGTGGTGCCGAAAATAACTCTCTTAAATTTAAAAACAATCAAAATTTGTAAACAAATCTGTACCGCTGAACAAAAACAAGTGCAAAGATTCTACAAATTCTCTTTACCTTGGCTCACGATTAAGTAACCTCTTGTAGATGGCCAGCGTATGCTCTCATTCTCCTCAGTTTTGGCCTCACAAGCGTATGTTCCCTGATCTTTTAGACTTAAATTTAGAAGTGTAAATACTTGACCCTTTAACAAAACCTTCTTTGCGTCGATTTTTCGCTCCCTGAAAGGTGCCAGGGGATGGTGTCTGTGATAGAGTGATACTGTAGCATTTCGGTCGTTAGTGGAACAGTTTAATGTCAAACTATGGGCCTGGTATCCGTGCAAAATCACGTCTGGTTTAACGAGGAAAGATAATGGTTCTGCGAAAAAGTTGACAATAAACAAAAATTGATTTGTAAGTGGTATGCAACTGAAAAGCTTTTTGGACAAAAGTAAGCTCGTAAACCGTTACCTTCCTTGAGGTGGCCATGAGAAAAGATTGCTTATTGGCCTTCCTCATAGGCAGTTATGATAAAACGAACTCAATCGTGTATGCACCATGCAAGCAACCAAAACGATATGACTATCTGAAGATCTGAAACCTGTAGAGCAAAAGGGACTGGCTCAAGCATCTGTTTAATATTTCGATGGTGGTTTGGGACTCGACTACAAAATGCTTGCCTTCATCAATGGTCAAAGAGATCTCCATATTTACATTTTCCGTGATACAGCATAAGTTTTACTTGAATTACCTCTAACATACAATGAAATCATCTTGTGATCTGTCTTGTCAAAGACCCTTAACACGCATTTGTAAACACCAGCATCTTCTGCCTGAACATTTGAAATCTTAAGGAAGGCTCTAACTTTATTTGTGGATCTGTCCTTATCAACAGTGACAAGGTTACTTGAGACAGAAACATCTCCTGTTTTGGTTTGTTTCATCCAGTGTAGTTTGGTCTCTGAGATACCTTCTGATTCACAGGTAATAGTTATTTGCTGCCCTTGTCGTACAGTGAGCGGTGTTTTAGGCCTCAAAACGAAATGATTTGGTAATCCACCTACCAAAATAAATTAATAAATATCAACGGTCTATACTTGAAAGAGTAAGGGAAAGCCCTCGAAAAATTCATGCTGCTCTTGTTGTACATTAAGTGGTGTTTCAGGCCTCAAAACAAAGTGATTTGGCCATCCACCTGCCAGAATAAATAAATTAATATTAAAGGTCCATGCTCGTAAAAATAAAGGAAAAGCCCTTGCAAATTTCAAATGATAAGTGTAAGTAGACTGTCCCGTTGATGGTTCAGGCTTTGCGGTGGCTTTGTAGTCTCATACAACTGAGCTGCATTAAAGACAAACTATGGGACCAAAACAACACTACCATTGTAACGGTAACGCTTGTTACGATTATCGAACCTTATCATGGAAGGAAAAAAGTCATCGGAAAGCTGAGGTTATGTTTAATCCTAAATAAATTGGCTTTAATCTTGTAAATTACCTTACCTCGAATAGGAATCAAATATCCTCTACCAGGTGGCCATCGAATGTTCCAACCACCCCGATTACTCGCCTGGCAGGAATATATTCCAGCATCTCTGCGTTCAACATTTAGTAAAGTAAAAACCTTTCCTTTCCTCGATAGTTTGTTTTGTTTAAGGTCCAGCTCATGGAAGGAAGCAAGCGGATGATGTTTGTATAGGAGAGATACTGTTGCCTCCTGATCATTTGTAGAACAGTTAATGACTAAATTCTGGCCCAGATATCCTCGTATGATAACCGGTGGCTGGTTTAGAAAGTCTAGCGGTTCTGTTGGAAAAACCAAGACACACACAGAAATTGGAAAGTTACAACGGATTATCACTGGCAATCAAGACTGGCATGTGAGACACCTAAATTTGCACAGAGACAGAGACCGAGACTAATCGTCTGTCTGTAACCCTCTAACATGCACATGTCTGCATCGCAAACACACATTCCATCGCGTGGACTTACTTCTTACACTCCTTGGTCAATTAACTCGTCTTTGCAGTCTCGTAAATTATTGTAATCAAATTTCCTTTAGTATCAAGAACAAAAAAATTAAGTTTACTTCACCTTCATTAAGAATTAAATATCCTGTACCCGGTGGCCACCGAATCTTGTCATTTGCTTCATTTTTTGCCTCGCATGCGTAGAATCCAGAATCTCTTAAACCGACATTGAGAAGTTCGAATGCCTGTCCTTTCTTTAAAAGTTTTTTTTCTTCCAGCTTTAGTTTGACAAAGGCCACAAATGGATGGCGCCTGTAAAGAAGGGACACTGTAGCATCTTGGTCATTGGTGGAGCAATTTATAAGTATCTTTTGGCCCAGGTATCCCTTTAAGATATTCTGTGGTTTCTTAACAAAAGCCAAGGGTACTGTCAAGAAAAACAAGTGAAGTATATCAGCAAATATAAAAAGAATTCTGATGAATTTTGAGTAACTTTCTCAGAATTAAGGATCATATGAAAAGACAAATTTCTTACCACTTCGAACAAGTTTGATGACATGAAAATCCCTTCCTAGTTTATTAGACGCCAGACACCTGAAGCTCGCAGTTGGCTGATTGCCTTGAACGTTTACCACACTCTTCTTTGTCGGTGTGTTTGGAGGAGTCATTATTAGACTCTCAGGGACGGGCATCCACTGACTTTCAACTGGGTCACAAGAGCTCGTGTTGAAAGTGAAACAATCCGTGTTTTGGTATTCCCACTTGAATGTTGGCAGAGGATTGCCTTTGTTCACCACACAAGACACTTTCGACCCTTTGCCGCTACTACTGAGCACCTTGTCGGGCTTTTGTATTAATCGGGGGGGAGCTGAAGAAGATAATTAACCTGCATTGGTTTAGTTTTAGAAGATAAAAGACTTACCCTGATGCAGGTATAAGGGTAAAGGATAGCAATATTCTCCGATGGGGACTATGGTAGAAATTGCATTTGCATCAACATTGTCAAACCAAAAAAAATGTGCAATGAAATAAACGTGTGCACATAAAACAAACATGATTTTTGCCAACCCTCCAGATCATTGAGTCAAAGACCTGGGTGTCAGGTGACAAAATTTTGAGTACGAATACAGAAGTTAAATACTGCTTTCAGTTTATACATACCTAGGACGTTCAGATCAATGATTAATTTTGCAGGTTGGGCGTGACCGTTTGTTGCAATACATTCAAATTCTCCTTGATCTCTCGAGTATAATGCACTTCGTATTTTAAGAACTTTTATAGTCCTAGCGCTCTTTCCTCCAAACTTGTGTTCTTTAATTTCTTCATAAACTTCATACGGAATTCCCTGGCATCTGACGTCATTTAACTCGGAACACTTCATTGTGGGCAACTTCTTGCCATTTCTGTACCAGTCTACGTCAGGTTTGTGGATTGCTGTTGCTATGCATTTGATGACTTTTATCGAGCCTTCTCTTACGGTTTTTTCTTTGACAATAGGTTGCAGTTCATCTGTTGAAATGTTAGAGTAATTATTTATTGTACTTTCTGCTAATAATCATTACACGAATTTGTTTTCATGCGAGTTATTTTTCATTGGTCCGAAACAGAAACGACCACAATTAAATACATATAGCAATGTTTTGACAACCCTTTTTTTTTAAATTCCACTTCTTAATAGCTTTTCATCGATCACTATGTTCCCTTAGGGTATTTAAATGAGGTTTTACTGAAAAGAAATATAGATCTTTAAAAACGAATTTTGCAACACCCTCTCCATGACAACTTAGAGGTGTCCCCGTTTTTCTTTTTCTAATCTCACGCTGCTTGCCGCGGTTGGCAAACTTGTGAGAAAGATCATCAAAGAAATTTACATTTCAAACCTCGGTGCTGGACATCTGGTGTTGTTGTTATAACCGGAGGAGCTGTAACGTCTGGATCTGGTTCCGTTTTAAAGTCTGAGGTTGCCTTTGGGAAAGCAGTGATTTCTCGTGTTGGGGTGTGCGGAAGTTCCGTAGCGTCCGATGTTGTTATGACTTCTCGTATTGCTGTGGTGAATTTGTTTTCCACAGTCACAGTCTCAGTATTTGTGGCTTCTACTGTTGATGCAGTATCTTTCGCGGCTGTAGAATACGGATGTTTTGTGGCATCTGTGGTCTCTGGTATGGAATCCGCAACTGTCGTGGAAGCCGGGGTTCCAGAGGTACCATGGATTAGTGTAATGAGATCTGGTTTTGCTACTGTAGTATCCAGGGTCTCTATTGAAGCTAAGGTCTTGGGTTCAGCTGAGGATGCTGTCGAGTTTGGAATTGATGTTGTGTCTTGATTTGTCGCAATCTTATTTGTTGCTGTCTTCACGGGATATGGGCTTGTTCCAAAACTTGCAATGGTTGACATGGCAGACGGGGTGTATGGCACTGCCGATGATCCTTGTAACGCATCTGTCATAACTGAAAGTTTTGTAGTATCTGAGGTCACTGTAGGATCTGACACAGCTGAGCTGTGCACGTCAACTGTACTATCTGTAGCTGGAGTAGAATCTGGTGCTGCAGTAGTAACCTGGGCTGTTGAAATATCTGAGATTGACTCGGTAACTGGGACTACTGTTGCCACTGAAGTTGTTGTCACACTTGAATTCGTTGAGCTCTCTGAGGCTACTGTCGTCTCTGGCTCAACTGTGGTGTACGATGCTGATGCGGTATTCTGCGCTGTCTTGGTATCTGAAACAGATGCTGATATGGGTTTCTCTGTTCTCTCTGTATTCGGAGCAGTTGTGGTTTGTAATGATGGAAGCGGCTGGCCTATGTGACAAGGATTTAAAAACGTTACATAAATAAGTTCTTAAAGATAATCATCTGACAGAAGTTGCCAATTGTAACATTAACATCTGAGATAAAATATAGACTTGTTAGTCCATACCTTTCATGTAAACATTGAGTTCTGCTGTGGCCTGAATTTTTCCCAAATGGTTTTCTGCAAAGCACTGATAGGGTCCCATGTCGGACAACACAAGCCTCTTGACTAGCAAGTATCCATCTCCGATGACGTTGTAAAGAGATTCCTCAATCACGTCCCCATTTCGGCTCCATGTGATAACTGGTTTGGGTATTCCGTCAGCAAAGCATTCAAACAATGCATTGGAATCGACGTAAGCATGGACATTATTTGGTTTCTTGATGAATAAAGGAGGATCTGTGGAGCAAAACAAAACTTTGATTATCTACCGTGTTTACTCTTCTAAGCCCGGCGCCGTTTATCAGAGTTTGTTCCAGTCGATAAACAGGCGCACGATACAAGTGAAGCGCAAGGAAAGGAGGAACGCTTTGAACGAGTCACGTAAACTTTCGCCTTTTTTTCCACTCTACAAAAACATTGCGCCACGTTCATTAACTGAACACCTGCAATAGGCGTTATTATTTTATTTACAAGATAAATAAGGCGTTATTATTTTATTTACAAGATAAATAAGGCGTTATTATTTTATTTACAAGATAAATAAGGCGTTATTATTTTATTTACAAGATAAGGCGCCATTTTGAGCTAGGGTGGCGTTTGCCCAAAAATCACCATTCTGAAAAATGATTTATGTTCCCCTACATCTGGAGATGCATTTTAAATAACCGATTGGAAGATATTACTTACGATGTACTTCTAGCTTAGTTGTAGCTTCTCCGATGCCGTTTCGTGAAATTGCACGACAGGTGTATGTTCCCGCGTGTTCCTCAGTTACTGATTCAATCTTAAGGTTGTTCTGTCCAACAACAGAATAACCACTTCCGAGCACTACAGGTAACCCATCGAATAGCCATGTGACTTTTGGTTTAGGAAATCCATTTGCAATGCATTCGAGTATGACAATATCACCAGCGATGTCTTTTCTCTCGACAGACGCGACGGACACATATGGACCGCGAGGAAACCCACTATCTATGCACAGAAAGAATAGAATGCATAGTCATCCATTATCGTAGTGACGCACCCAACCAGGATACGAAAACAAAAGACATCGAGTTTCAGCTGTGTGACAAACTGACTTGACAAGGCATCAGTGTGTTATCTAGCAGCAGGAGACTTTTTCCTTTTTCGTAGAACCTCATCTAAACACTTGTGTGGTTAGGAGTTAATTTGTGGACAGTTCTATTAGCCTCCTCGAGTGTTTAGATGAATGGCACTGTGCTTGATGCGACATTAAGTCTCTTTCCTCATACACAAGGAGAGCCTTGTTCTGGGTTACTTGAAAAGTAGTTCACAAGTACCTACTCCTTTTGAGACCTGCTTACGAGTGGGCTGATGAACTACTAATTTTTCGAGCCAAATTATGGCACACTAGAGTTAGAAATGATAAACGATGACGTACCTACTATACATACCCTTAACATATCTTATATGTCCTACCTGTTATGACTTCAAGCGACGCTTTGAGAGTGCTCGTGTGACTTGTTTCAGTCACAGTATTTTCTGCAGTACATTCATAGTCTCCTTGGTCATCAAATCTGCTCTCGGCGATCTGTAAGGCTCCATCAAAAGTTATGGTGAAACGTCCTCTAGACTCAATGAAGTGATTTTCTCCAAGTTTTCTCCACCTAACAACAGCTTTTGGTGTTGAATCGTTCACGTAGCAATGAAACCTTGATGTGTCTCCAAATGAAACTTTTAACTTGGATGGAGTAACAGCCACCTTGGATGAAATTTCTGTTGATCAAAAGCATATGCCAGTTAATGTTATTTTTTTACAGTTCATTTTGGTCCTGTTTCTTTCTTTAGTTGTGTTATGTGTTAGTTTTGATTCAGAAAACTCGACTAACGAGGTTCTCGGTCAATTTATTAGCTGGAGGCAAATTTACCTCAGGGCTAGAGTTTTTTCACAACTTATCTCTGAAGTGTTCTTTGGTGACATTATCCATAGGCAAAGTAGGAGCGACGATAGTACACTATCCGAAATGGCGGTACTCCACAAACTCCTCGCTAGTTCGCCTTCAAGTTTCCCTAAAGTTTGACTCACTGCGAATGCTAGATTTCCTGTTTGATATTTATCACCAAAGTTCTGTATAAATAAGGCTGTAAGTAATGCCATGGCAATTTTTTCCAACGGAGACGAGTTCCTTTTAAATTTGATAACGGAGACTTGGCTTACCAGCAACGAGGAGACGAGCCGTTCTGCTCAAAATCTGAAAATCCAGATTCATGTCATTACGCGTTAACGCCTCGCACTGGTAGGCTCCTTCGTCTGAATTTTCAGCCGTGTCATGATTAACTTTGGAAAAATACAAAGATCCGTCCGGCTTTATCATTCTTCGGTCATCTTGCGATAAATCCCGCAGTGCAATACCATTTTTCCTCCATGTTATAGCGGCCTTGAGGCTTCCGCCTACTAGACAGTCCAATACAGCGGACTTACCCCGCTGTACATACGTGTCTGTGGGCTCCTTGATGAAATACGGTGCTCTTGCTGACGCCAATACTTCTAAATACATAGAATTAAAATGAAAACATGAATATAAGACGGAATGAATAAGTAAATGAGTGCACAGGTGAATCAGATGGTGATTTATATTTGTGTCGATGTATTTGATCTGTTCATTGCATTCCCCTCTAATCGCTTACTGAAGTGTTGTCACGATGTCATACATGTCCGTGAACTAACCTTCAACTATAAAATGTCTCGGTTGATTTTCGCTGCTTTTGGACCATTTTTTGGACCATTTTTGGGCCATTTTTTGGATCATTTTTTGGACAATTTTTTTGGATCATTTTATCGGGGGAAGGTAGACTATTAGTATTTAGGGGAGGGGTGGGATGGAGTCTATCAGTACTCAGGGAGGGGTGGGAGGCAAACTGTTGTTACTGAGGAAGGGTAGGATTGGGCTCCAATGGAGGGGTAGAAGACGAACTATTAATACTCAGAGGGGGGTGGGAGGTGGTTGTATTAGTAAATGCTTCTAATAAATGTAGTTTTTTTTATGGTTCATTCAAATTTTTTTGAGCGGTTTTTTTAATGTCAAAATTTATGCGTTGGGTCGTAGCGTTTCTTTATTTTTTTTGTCATGCGAATGCGAAACTGGCACCTAGACACTGGACTAAAATTGTTTTTGAAAATATCGCCAATTCCCGTTTTCGATCCTCCTCTGTTGGGTCATTGTTGTATCATTACAACAGTGGAGGATCGAAAACGGGAATTAGCGATATTTTCAAAAACAAATTTAGTGCAGTGTCTTGGCGCCAGTTTCGCATTCACATGACAAAAAATAAAGAAGCGCTATGACTCAGCGCGAAAGTTTTGACATAAAAAATAGTCAGTCGAAAAATCGCTCAGATAATTTGAATGGTCCATTGAAACTCCATTAATCAGTTCAACATTTACTGGGCAGTCGAAATAATTTTTTTGCATTAGACCTGCATAATTGTCTGCTTTGAAGTTTAACATTGAATTTCAACTGTCTCAAATTGCTCGGCTGTAAAATGCTTTGCATTTGCTAACCCGAGGACACCGGAAATTACAAAGTATTCGTACCCTGCAGCGGAATAGGAAAAGTTCGCCAAACTCGTCAAAATTCTTTCAGGTATATTACATTTCACCCTACGGGCAAGATTACTGAACTGTTTCCGCAGGTGAAGAGTTTAACCTACGACAACGTTATCACAGGACCACTGGTAGCCATAACAAGAGCTGATGAACAGAGATTTGGGGAGACTGGCACATTTAACAAACGATCAGCTTACGACTTCTTTGCCGCTTCTGTCCAGTCTCTGCTCGGACATCAATTGTTATTAGGGCTTAGCTGTTTTACATCTAGCAATTACGAAGATGAGACGCTTGGCGCCTTGGAAAGACGTTGAACATATCCAAATACCCTCGCTCTAGAACAATCATAAAACCAAAATATGTCCTTTTTGTTTGGTCATTTTTTGGGGGTCACTGGATTGTTAAGGAAAGATTTGTTGGTTCTTTCTAAAACATTTAAAATCACACTACAGTTTCTCCTCTGATATCTGAAAAAGTCTATCATGTTTACATCTGAAAAACACATTTTTTTTAAGTATGACCCTAAATTATGTTAACCTATAACGTTTTTGATAAACAAATCTACCTCTAAACCTGCTTAATTAGATTATAATCCTTGTCGAGCTATAAAAAATTTTTATAAAGAAACCAGCCTTCTTGACCCTTCTGGATGCAGCCCAACAGAATCTGTGAATAGCCCGTTTACCAGGGCGTGCCATAGAAAACATTTGCCTGTTGAGAGTAAACAAATTTGCCCTACACGGAACCCAAAACATCACAAATCACACCTGAGGTGGATTTCCCACGCTGCTATATCGATTATCATTTCGCAAAAGGAATTTTCTCTCAATACGTATCACTACTAATCTTGGGCAAGCGATCACTAATGAGAGATTTCGTCAAAGATATATAGAAACCATTATCTAACAGACTAACCTGGTATTATGGCAAAACACAAAATACCAACAAAAGTACTGCAGAGAACATAGGAGTTAGTCATCGCCATAACTGCTCCAAACTTCAATATTTTTGTTTTGCCCTGGCTATGACCGCAACTTGCGATTGATTTCGCTAAAACAAGCAAATCTCCCTAATAGAACATCAGGGGTTTTGATCACTCAGCCAATCAGGTGGCGGAATTGCGCGTTCTTGATCACCGTTGAAGGCAGTTTTGTCAATTAACTGAATGTGTTAAGTATTTGTACACTTAGAAGTATGTCATGATTTCACTAGTTCTTGCCTGACGACGAAACATGGAATGCATATGGTCCGAGTTATGGCATGATCTCAATTGTTATCGACGGCGGTAGTTTTTGTCAATAAGCGGGATATTTAAGGTATCTGCATATCGCGTGATGTGCGAGAACAGCTGCAGTAGTCAATACTAGTCTGGCGGGGACAGGACACGCGATTGTCGTAAAATGCCGTTAATGTTACAGAGCAGCTACCTTAAGTTCGAGTGTCGAAGGGTCAGAGGTTAATTTCTCCTTGGTGGGTTTCTGTTCCTGAAGTGAATTTTCAGGTTCCAAACTCTTCATTAGCTGACTACCGTAATCTTAATCTACCTTAGTCCTTGGTCAGAGCGATTGACGAAGGGCTAACGCTCGAAACGTCAGCTTTTAAACTATTTACGGTGGCCAATTTAAGATTTCAACTCAGTTAATAATACTTAATTATCCTGTTACACTATCCCACCGACGCAGCACCACAGTTTCTCTAGAAACTTACCCCCTTTACCGTAACCATAGGTCAAGTTAACACGCTTTTATCTTTTATAGGCAAAGTAGACAATATTATATCCAATTAAAAACCAGACATAATATCAAAATATTAAAATCAATTAATCACAATCATCCTTCTGGCAAAATTTACATTGTTGGCCATTTCACTCTTGACAACGACATTCGCCTATACTCCATATAAAGCTCCGTGAATCTCCCGGCAGCCGCTGGATTATCAGAAGTCACTAAAGCCAAATTGTGATTTATTGCTTTCAAAGCCTCGCAAACTTCCCACTGGCGCTTTCTTTCAGTCACGAAACAGCGGCGAAAGCTTCCTTGTATCGACAAGTGGTCAAAAGGACAGGTAGAATTTTGGCAGAATACTATTTGAGAATTCAGTATATTCGCCCTCTGGGTTCGGGAACCACCCCAGGTCTTCATCTTTCCACTTCTCTGGACTTGCACTTTCACTTTCACTTATTCCCGCACCCAATGTGCGCAGACGCAGTTATGTGAGTTACACTTCCGGTTAGTTACTTTCACCTCCGGTTATTTTGTCTTGGAGGAGGTGGGGGGAGGGTCAGATGTTTTTGTGTAGTTACTTGTGAAGGGTCATGCATTAATCCATTCTGGTATGTGAGAGGGCCACGACTTTTCTCGCAAAAAAATTTCTAAAATACCCCGACCCACCCCTTCCCCCCCCGCCAGTAAAAAACATACCTTCCCTAACGAATAAAGGAAGTCTCGACGAATAAAGGAAGTCTCAAGAAACTGTGGTGCTGCGTCGGTGGGAGAGTATAACGGGGTAATTTCGGATTATCAAATGAGTTGATAATGTAAATTGCCACCTTAAGGAGTTTCAAAGCTGACTTTTCGAGCGTTATCCCTTCGTCAGAGCGATTGGCAGCAGTTACTCCCATCCATTCGTGATGCCTCGATAAAGAATTGAGACAAATGGAACAATCCGTTCCGCTCTATTATTTTTTTTTTTCAGTTTTCATGTTTTTGTTTTCATATTTATCCACTGGAGGCGGCTGTGACTTCCAGATGTTATGATAATTTCACACGAAGTGATGTTGTTCTTGCTAACACACTCTGTTTACAAATGTGAAGATGTTGTGGTTTTATGCAGCGAATCAGCACCAGAATGTCACTTGAGTATTGTTTAGTGTTTCTTCATCAAAGACAGAACGTCTTCGATATTAAGGCAAACATCATTTTATCAGACTCCAAGGCCTCCATGCCCATCCTCTGCTGTTTGTGTGACCAAGTCAGGTGCGCTGATATGGTTGAAGGAATAACACGACATGCAGTACTACAATGACTCGTAATTTTCGAAAAATATTGTGGGTTTGACACAATGAAGTCCATGCAATTTGAAACGTTCCGTAACGGCCTTTTTTCTTTCTTTTTTTTTCTTTTTCTTTTTCTTTTTATTCTTAGCCTTGGACGTGTCCCATGGCACGGCATAAGACGGCAGGTTTTACAGAAAGCGGTTGAGGGCAATATGTTGTTAAGTAACGGACCACTATATCAGACTGCATGTCGTGTTATATATTACCGTCTTCGGCTATTCCATTACTTAGCAACAATTTTTTAGCGCTCTCTTCCTTCCTGTGGTGCTATGCGTTCATGGCTGAGATTTTCAGGAAGAACCACTACTTAAATTGGGAGGACTTAACTTTGAAAACTTTGTAATATCTTCCGAAAAATAGCATTCATATCATAGGTAAACGAACTTCCTTCTATCTTGCAACTTAGACAGTTAAGTTAAAATTTACCCACCTTCAATCAATAATTCTTAACTGCTTGTTATTTTTACATGCATATCTCGATAGTTTTGGAGATTTTTTATTCAGTAACCCAATATAGCTAAATAAAATCCGCATGGAAGAAAAATTCCCCAGGAACAATGCTACATATCATGAAGAAGATAGACGGATTAACCGTGGGAATACAGATTAACAAGCAAAGACTGAGATCAAAATAAATAAAGAAGGAAAGAAATTAGGGAGGAAAATGAGAGATGATAAATATTTACTTTGACGGTTTATGACAACACCCTCAGCCCGCACACATTCTTTGGACTTTACAGGGCCTATCCGTGGATTTCCCTCTGTTCTCTGTCTCTCGCGTTGTTGTAAGTTCTATTAATATTTAAAACCCCACTGTTGTCTATCAGCCCTTAGACGATGTAATAGCAGGCAAGGATCTTTAATCATTGGGATGATCAAACGATGAAAATATTAAACCACATCCCAATTTGGGGGGTTTCCATTCTCCATCGAGTGTTTCCGTTTCATGCTGATGGATGACTTACACTTGAGGATAAATTCCTTGAAGATAAAATTTAGGAACAATATTTACCGAGCCCACTGAATAAGTCAAACAAACTGATGCTAGTGAGTTTTCAAAGGAATTAGATACATTAAGGAAGACTAATCATCTCCACGATTGGAAAAAAAAACAGTTATAAAAAATTATAACAACTGGGACCGTTTTAGTGTCTAATGACCCTTCGCTTGTCTAACATCATCTCCGCAAATGCGAAATCAAGTTAAGCAAAGTCTCCTTTGTGAGCGAATAGATTATCATTGAAAAATTTAGCGCGAAAGGTTATTTTAGTATTTCCACGTAATGCTTTGGAGGAAAATCAATGCAGTTTCGCCTAAATATACAAGCATTCGACCTATCTTATCCTTCTTTAACGAAATTGCAATTTTTGTGTCTGCTGCATTTATAATGCATGCAGACACTTAGATAAGCTGTAAAACGCGCGACCAGCTACTTCATATACGACAAGATCTCGGATTTACTCTTGACGTTTCACTGCGGATTCCATTTGGTGACACGACACATGAAGTATGCACGGAGGGGTAATACTTTCGGCCTGTAATACTTTCGGCCTGTAATACTTTCGGGTGCAAACTTCGTTCCTCAGGGGAATAATCTATCCAATCGGATACGAGGAAAGGACAAAGGAAAGAGGTCGTGGCGAACTACCGATTTCCGGGAAGACTCGGAACCAATCAAATCTGAGAAAAGGACAAAGTCAAATCCGTCAAACCATGTGCTTTCGTAAAACGTTTGGGTTGCATCGTATCGTCCTGATTTCGTTCGTCAAGCCAGGGTGTATTATTGCTTGCAAGGTGAGTGATCTTTTCGCTTTTCATATTTGTAATGGATTTCTTAAAAGGTGTTTTCTCATTTTGCCACAGCATTCGCACTGGGTGTCATTCCGGCCGAGTGAAAGGTTTTGAAAGATGCTTTGAATTTGTAAATCGACTGAAGCTTTCTCGGCGCCAACACGATCACCGCCCGGCCATTTTGCAAGTGCTCAGGACGCAAAATAAGCTTTATGAGCCCCATTTGGGGAATGCAAAGTTCCTTCGGGGAACAATTGAGCCCCATTTGGGGAATGAAAAGCCCGTTAAGGGAATTATTAAGTCTCACTTGGGGATTACAAAGCCCAATGCGGGATATAATATGCCCTGTTTACGAAATGGATTTGGCAGAAGATACATGTATTTCACTACACACGTGAAAACATCTATCACTAGACAAACATGTGCGAAAGCTGTGGTGATTTTATACAGAGGAGAGAAACCTAGAACTAGTATTCTTCATGATAATTACTATCTAAGCATCGCTATGAACAGATCTTTGCATACAGTTGTAAGGTATCAATGCTTTCAAAAATTGGAATCCTTCATCAAGATGAATCAAGCGCTCAATTGCTCCTTCACATTTCAACTGTCCAGCATTTGAAGATTTGCTATTTCCTTTGCACTTCCTAAGTGCAACTTGTGATTTTCTTAAGAGAATTTTCATTTGAAGCTTTTTTGTTTTGAAGAATATATTTTCAACACACATAGCAGCTCTCCTATCTGATCGTCTTAGTTCAGATTTACAAATGTCGCTATAATGAACATTAGCTAGTCTATCTTTATTCTCTGGTCGACTTTGACCAAGGAATATACCAGGATATGCTAACTCTTCAGAATATTGATCTCTGAATATACTTAAGGGTTTGTTTCCCTCTCCTGGTGCAACATTTAAAATACGTTGAGGCAGACTGTCTTCAAAATAATGTGTGTTGGTCAACATGGTGTCAGTAACACCAGCAGGTGTTTCTGCTTCATCTTCAGTCCACTGATCATCATTATCATTACTGTCATTTCCATCTTGCTTATTGGAACCACTGCTCTTTTCTATTTCTTGTAATTGTTCACTTTGATTTTCAGTATTAGTATCATCTAATAAACAGTTTGCAGTATACTGCACTCCCCAACCTTCATTTAGTGTTATTCCTTCCTGTCTGTAGAGGCTGCTGTTGTTGATTGATTTATAATGAATAAGTAAACAAATAAAAAATTATAATTCACCTAGGTAAGTTTTTTTTTTGGCATTTTGTTGTTATAGTTAAATTTGTAGTAGTAGTCGTAGTCGTCGTCGTCTTTTGATGCAGTGCTCCCTATGTTATTAGAAATTTTGAAATACATTATATTGCTATGAAACAAACTCAAAAGGTTCTTTTTCACTTGCAGGCAATGGAAGAACAAAAAGAAGAGATTGTTGGTTTCTTACACAATGTGTCTCCAACTAAAAAAAGTAGCAAGACATCTTACTTTGACATGTCCATACAAACCACCGATGGCTTAGTAAGAGGAGTCTGCTTCTCCGGAAGTAAACAGGAACACTTTGATCAAATGAGCAAAAGGAAATCTCCAATAAAACTTCGAAATTTTAGAATTGAAAGAGCAGGAGATGCAACCACAGTACTGATGAATAACAATGTACTGTTAGAGCCTACAAAAGAAATACCTTTTTCAAGAATTGAGTTGCCAAGTGCCAACAATATCCAATCAATTTCAGCTGCAAACACAAATCAAAGTATCACCATCACAAAAAAGCCAAACTTATTCAGATGTCATCAACAAAAAAAGTGAAGACAGAGGATGGTGAAAAAAAAAAGTTGTTTGCCTATCTTGTGGACCCACATGGAGCCATTAAGGTGACACTTTGGGAACAATTCTGTGGATCTCATTAATCCTGCTGATTATTTCTGTTGCGTTACATTTCTGATACATTTCATTTCAATTAAAAGACAAACACTTCAAAATACTTTTAAAAGTATATTCACCTATTAGTTACTTGAACACAACAATGTAAATATACTAACTTTGTTTTTTACCTATGTTTTGTTCCAAATTGATTGCATATTACCATTAAATGAAAAACATAATGATTTCCTAGGAATTATTACAACCAGAGACTTTTTCTTGCTTTGCAAAACTGCTACTGCGTTTGCATTACAGTTGTCTTGTGTTACAAAGACTTCAGATACTATTCAATTTTGTTAAAAACTATTGGCTGTTGTATTTCAATTCTTTGATTTAAATATTCTGCTACAAAATAAAAGAAACGTTCACTTTAATGTTAGATTCTTTGCAGTACCATAACACAATAAAAGTTATTTAAACAGTGATGAAGATGTAATCACAATCATGATATTGATGATCCCTTACCTCCAACTGGAGCATTGGACATTCACCACTTCAGTTCCCCATCTTTGTGATGACTTGAGCATTCCATAACACTGCCTTTCGGGAGATGTTTCTAGCCAGTTTAACAGTATTCAAAAAAATAGGCGCCTACAGCAGATTCCATTCCACTGTAGCAGACACAAGTACCCATTGGGTACCTATTTTTTTATGGTAGGTCACGTTTCGTATTACGATGCGGTCTAAATATAACTCTTAATCATTAAATTATTCGAATATTCCAGCGGAAACGAGGTATTTCATCTTGACGTAATCAACAAACGTTGATCTAAACGAGCTTGTGATTGGGTAGAACAAACACACCTAAACATGTTTCCTTTACATTTCCTGTGAAGTGTCGTGGAACGCCGGACTCCGTCGAAGCAAACGTGTCTTGTACAGAAGAGTAGTGAAAGCGAAAGCAGAACTGGAAAGACGAAATTTTTTTAAAAAATCAATTGGATAATTGTCTTAGTTATTTTTGTTACTAAGAAAGAAGAAGAACTTTTTAACGCCCGTCGAGCTGTTAAAAATGGCGGCGTCGCGGAACATCATCTGGAGGGAGTACAAGTTTTCAGTTGTGTGCATCATTTTCATCTGGACTTTCCTTTCATTATCTCGTCAAGGTATGGATTTTGATGTTCAAATTTACAATTATGTTCACAAAATTGCGGCTTCGTTGAGAAAATTGCGATATCTTGCAAGCTTATTTTGACAATTTTTCATTCATTTAGAAATTATTGGTTCTAGTTACGAACCTCGCCGAGGGAAAATTTCTTTTCTTAAGAAGGATTGTTTCAACTAAGAATATTGTAGAAAACTTACGTTTATTCATTAACGCGGGAAAGTAGAGAGATCGTGATGTACGGTAAGATCCCTGTGCTTACATATCCGGCAGCTTTCATTTATTCAGCGTCATCGACGAGAAATCGTGGAAGTCGGTCCACATTTACCGTAAGCGCAGTTGTATTCATCAAGTGACCGTTCAATAATACGACAAGTTATGTCCAAATGAAGACAACAGAAAACTCACTTCATCGACTGGTCAACTTGAAACCAAAGTGGAACATTTTTTTCACGTAGAACTGTTTGGGACAGTGGTAATAATCCCCATTTTGTTCATTTTTTGTGGTCTGCAGTTCAACCTTTAGCCCGGATTAAATTTAATGAGCGTGATATAAGCTTAACTTTACGTCCCATGAAACAACTCAACTAAGAGGAAATACTATTAGTTTTAAATTACTGCTCTTCTCCTCCTCAAGCACTAGACTTTTAACTTTTCACTTTATTTCCTACGAATTATGATTGCATTTCTTTATAACTGACCTTGATTTACTCTTAATCGTAAAGCATATGCACATATCCTTCATTTGGATAACTTTTGTGAAATCAATTTCAATTGTCTTAACTTCATTATTAGATTAGCATACGTTTGTGTTAGCTTGTGATTCCCTGCTGTTTGTCATGAGTCAGTTATTTGTCATATGAAGTCTAGATGTATTGTCTAAATTTCCTGCAATCCATTTACACAGAAAAATGAAGTTTTAATATTAAATCACACTATCAAGAGTATTTTAAGATTGCTTTCTGCATAAAAATTTGTTTAAATTTGTTAATTTTGAAAATACTGCACTCGTACAAAAGCTGCACAATTTACTGTCTTTCTTTGTGAAGTATTTATTTTGTAACTTAACATGAACCAAATTATCTAGAGTGTGATTGTGTCAAAGGAGGCCAGAAATGCTACTTGAGATGTATGCCTATAAATTTTCTGTTAGCAGCAAATGCTGTATATATTGTTCAACTGGTATCAGTGGGGTATGATCTATCACCATGACACTGGTGGTCATGCCAAATCTTTAAGGGAACTTTTAATCCCATCATCACCAAATTTTCTTCTTCCACCTCTGCTTGAAATAGGGACAAAAGACAGATATGACCTAGGCACTTGAAAGGACTTGACAATTCAGGAAAGAGCTCAAGTTCACCCTGCTGAAAGATAGATTATTTTATTGTTGTCTATGTACAGATAAATTTTCTTCAACAGCTTCTAAGGTCAACTTTCCCCAAAATGGTTTAGCTTTTGAAAAATTTATGAGAATGACTGCAGTTGGGAATTTACTTATATTCATGGTTAAACCCTATCACTCAACCACTCTATCATTGTGTCCATTTTTTTTACTTTTGGAAGACAAGTCCAGCCTTGTCAATCCAATTAACGTTAAATTAACAGTCACCTTTCTTCTTTCTAAGGGGTTGGAGGGTTAAGTTAGATTGGCCTAAAGCTTCATCTTGGCCATGTTTGCTAATGATTGTTTACTTTGCTGTAGGTGTGGATGCATTAAAATTTCTCAGTCCTCCACCCCAAGTTTCTAGTGGATACCTAGCCAGGAATATTGACTTCAACTGTTCAACTGATGATGCAAATGCAACAGTTAAGCTTTTCTTCGCTGCAGACTTTGTAAACTATAATGAAAGAACTTTGTCTCCTGAGAAACTTCACCTGAATAAACAAGTTTTTACATTGTTGAACCTTGGGGTGAAGGATGGTGGACAATATAGGTGTAAAGCAACAGATGGAAAAGAAAACATTGAATGGCCAAGCACTCATGGTTTACTCTTTCTTTCTCAAGGTAGGTGGAACACAAGCATACATTATGTACGATGTAGTTTACATTATGTATTGTTTAGCAAATCTAATCCTCACTGTTAATACCAGAAACTTAGGTTTAACAAATCAACAGTGGTTTAGCATGGTATTTACTCCTCTCAAAAACACTATATTTGTTATCACAGTGGTCAAAATGTTATGAAATCACAAGGCATAGCCAAGTGAGTCAACAACAAATAAAACAATTCTTTTAGTTTGACCATTACTTGACAAGTTGACATGAGCAGCATTGTCTTTACTCTTATTGACAACCACAAATTGGCCATTACTGCCAATTGTGGTAAAAACAGTGTTCTTTTGTGTTTTGTTCATGCAACCATTTCATTTCCAGGAATGACCATAAAAAAGTTTTCTTTCTCTAAAAACATTTTCAAGCAAAAGGTGTCAAGAGAAGACAAAATATCACAGGAATATTATTTGATTTTATACCAAACTCTCAAAGATAATGCAGTAAGAAATTTTCGCAGACAGTGTGGAGAATTGATATTGGATCTTAAGGGTAAAGGAGGTAATTTTCCTGTGAGAGTACATTAAATTATAAAGTACCAGAGAGTGACATAAAACAAGATTCACCAGGAGTATCACTGAATAAAAGTATTTTATGGCAATGAATTCTTTTGAAATCAACATATTTAACTAAAAAGGTTCTAAGGTGTACAGGGTTAATGATATTTATGAGCATTTAATTTAAAAGTGTTGTGTTACCTTACAGGAAAATTGCCAGATATTATACTTGATCCACCAAGACCAATCATAATACAGCAGGGGCAAACTGGAAAAATCACATGTCAAGCTCTTGGTTGGTCAGTCAGCAAACTTGCATGGAAGAAGCGAACTGACTCTGGTGACCAAAATGTTCCAGACAGCAAAGTTACAAATGTTGTAGATAAGTCTGAAAATTTAGTGAAAGCAACCCTAACCTTCACTAATGCTCAACCTCAAGATAGTGGTGAATATAAATGTGTGCTGACAGCTTTCAACAAACAGGATTATAAGCTTGCAAATATACGTGTGGATGGTAAGTTGTGAACCATTTTTCAGGGCTCAAAATTAAAAAAAATTCCAAGTCGCCTTTTGGCAACTATCAAAGAAAAAATGGTCGCCAAATACAAAAATGCAGTCGCCAGGTAGTACAAGAACAGAAACTCAGATGAGAGCCCCATTTAATTAACATAGTTATTCGGCTTCTGGAACTAAACACATTGCAAAAACATCCTCCGGTAGCTGTTGCGTGAGATTTACACTCCAAACAAACATTTTTGAAAGGCTTTGAAATGCTTCTTGTTTGCATACTAACAACGATCTTGCTTCCTGGTAATTTCTAGCCTGCAGCAAATTACGAAAATTGCTCAGTGTATTCTGCTCTTGTGATAAATAATTCATGACTTTCAGTGTAGACTCGTCTCACTTGATCAAGCAAATGCTGAAAGAAAGCACCTGCTTTGAAAGCCGGCTACTTGCGACAGAATCTGCTACAGAATGCTTTTAAATTCAGCAGCCTTTCAACAAAATATTGCACCCGCGATCACCATGTAGAAGCCACTGTAATGTTGTCTCATAAGTCTCTCATAAGTTGCGATCTTAGAGCGATTTCAAGTTTTAACTTAAAGGTAAACAGACTAAATTTGCATGTCCTTTTGCAGAAAAGCAGAAACAAGACTAAGGAAATTGTTTCTCACCTTTAATATTTTATTTATCAAAGGAACATAGTTGCCAAAGTGGTGACTAAACTCAAATTTTTAGTCGCCAAGTTTAAAGTTTTAGTTGCATTGGCGACCATATCGGTCGCAATTTTGAGCCCTGTTTTTATAATGCAGCATTAGCATTTTTCTCAAGCCACTAAATTTTATAACTGTGACGCCATTGGTGTAGTTGAGCACACAGAACCTAATTCTACTATCCAGACATGTTATCAAAATTGTATGTTTTTCCATGGTCATTTTTTTAGTGGGAGATGTGGTGTCTATGTGGTTACATGTACATGTAACATGTGGGACTTGTGGTGGAGAGGTCAGCACTGACCTGGCAGGGTTGTTGTGTCAAGTTTTGGAGCAAGATACCTTACTCTTACAGTGTGTTGCTTCTCTCAGGAGTATCAAAAGTTAACAGCCCTTATCAAGGAGATGATCATAATTCATAGGCTTTTCATACCAGGAAATTCATCTGGTTCTGTGGACCATAAGACTGGAAAACTGATCAACCTTTTGCCCTATTTACTCAATAAACATGAACAGTACCTTGATAATTTTCTATTATGGTATATTTATGTACAGTTACCTATCTTCTAATTTGTTTGTAGCACCTCAACCACCAACTTTGTATCCATACAATGGAGGGACAACAGTTAATGAAGGGACTGAAAAAACTCTTAGATGTATAGCTAAAGCATCTCCAAAAGCCAATATAACCTGGTACAGGCATGGCAAGGAGTTACAGAACACCACCTCCTGTTCCCCATCAGATGAGAAAGAGTGCAAGACTGTTTATGAGATTTATGAAGATGACCCCACCTCTGCTTTGCACACTACTTTCACTAAACAAGTTCTTCAGATACATGGTGCCATGTATCCAAGAGACCAAGGGGAGTTCAAATGCATTGCAATGAATGGCATTGGTCAACCTGTTGAGTTAATTATAGACCTTGATATACTTGGTATGTGCAGTACTTTTATTTGCAGTTTATTTCATTCACTGCTGTTGAACTTCTTCTTCCAACAGCCACCTTGCAAGGCTCTGTGCTCAATATGTTTCAAATGCACCATTTGAAAACCTAAATTCATGAAAATATTTGGTCAAGAGAAAAAAAAAGCTGGCTGGCAGTAGTTTCTAGAGGTTCATAGGATGTCTGGAGGTGTAATGAACTCAACCAAGGAGAAATCAAGGGATGAAAACAATGTTGGTGATATTTTTGCTATGGTGTGGCAGTTAGCCTGCTGAACAAACTGACTACCTATCAGTGCCTTTCTCTGTCCAGTTGTAGTCAGAGGTACTAAGAAACTGTTGGACACAAATTGAAAATTGAAAAGTGTGTCAAGAAACGACAATGGACTGGCATACTATACAAGGAGATTAAATAGCAATACTTGAATGTTAATTGAGATGTGGATTGGTGCATTTGGCTCAACTGAAAACCTTACTTTTACCTTTTTTCATTTCAGCACCAACTGCTATAGATAAAGAGCGAGATGAAATACCAGTTAAAGAAGGGCAGGAATCAACAGTGATCTGCAAGGTGACAAAATCTAACCCACTTCCCACTTTCACATGGAAATACCAAACTGTCAAATGTGAGGACTGTGTACCTGATGAAAGCAATTGGATTGATGTTCCGTCTTATCTTCTCCTTACACCCCAAAAACAAACAAACTTAAGTGAAGTTCGAGTTGAGAAAAGTCAGTCTGCTGCTTTTTACCGTTGTCAAGCTGACAATGGTGTTGGAAATGACACTCACATTATAAAACTCATTCGGCTTGGTAAGTAGTTTTTATTTATTGTTTCAAGATTTAGCTCTGTAATTATCAGGAAAAGCATTCAATGGACATAATTTGTGTAGAATGAGATGAAACCAAATTTGAAGTCGTTCGATGAATTAATTAAAGTAATATTGCACCATCCATTTATTCTGATGATCCAAGCATTTGTTCCCTTTACTAATTGCACTCTTGTCAGTTTTGTTAATTTTTTGTGACACTAGACAATTCCCACTTTTTTTACCTTGTGAAATTGTGATGTTGACTAACAAATGTTTTGTCATCAAAATTTACTCTCCATTTCATTGTATGAGAGATTTTTAGAATAATTAGCACCAACAATATTTTAATCAACAGCAAAATCAAAGAAAATTTATGAGTTTGAGTCAGACAGTGCAACACAGTTAGATGAAGAAGGCACTTTGCATCTCGTTTGCATCAGGCGATGTGGTCTTTGGTGCACTGATACCCTCTTTAAAGATGGTCAACAGCTGTCAGTTCAAAAAAATGACTCGCGTGTCAACATCACAACAATACAATCATCTAAAGATAGGTATGAAAGCCGGCAGATATTGACGATAAAGAAATTGACACTTAATGACTCTGGAAGTTACCGCTGTGGGCCTGCTGGTCCAGAAAATGATGTACTTAACATCACTATCAAAAGTAAGTACAGTTTTTGCTTAAAAGCAGTCGTTGAGCAGACTGAAGGCTTTAGTTAACCCTTTCACCCATATCGGTGAGTAGCATTCAATTTCTCCTTGAAATGTCACCCCTTAATCAAACACAAAGGTCACAAGAATGAAGGAAAAGATTGCAAATTGAAGGAGTTCTTGATTATTAGACAAATTTTCCCTGTTAATACCAAAGGAAATTTATAGAGAATAGTGTGGAGAATATGGATACTGATGTTAAGGTGTAAAGGGTGAATTGAGTCCTTAAGTCTGTCATTGCTTGAATGTTTCCATTGGTTTCTTATTACTGATTCTTCTTATGTACTCTGTTGTGGGGGATTGCAAAAAAGAAATTTGGTTACAACAATGGTTGAAGACAAAATGGTTGGATTTTATTTTCATAACCACCATTAAAAACTGCTCAGTATACACATTTCCTAACTTGTTAAGATAAATTTGAAATTCACTTGGAGGAGCATAGTGTAAATGTCTATCCTCCTACTGATTGTCTCCACTGAAAACAGCTGCATTCAGCAGTAAAATTATCAATCAGATAAAAAATCAGGAATGCAATTCCCACAGATCTCACTGTAGTCATAGTGGAATTGAATCCAATGCAGAATAACCCATACACACATATCTGTTTGCATTGCCTTATAGTTTGGAGATGCCATTATGTTCTCGTGCTATGATAAAATTTTGCTTTGCAAGTACATATGCTTAAGCTTGAAACTTTTCACCCATTAAATATTTTTTTTGTGCCTGTAGAGTTGTAAGGTGGAGGCAGGAAAAAACTCCATTGAGAGCTAACAACTTATGAAGGGCCCCTCATGCTGGGAAGATTTTGACTCAGAGCCTGTTTTGTTGTGTGATTTAAATCTAAGCGGAACAATTTTTATGTAACGTGATAAATCCTTATCCTTCAGGGTGAAGGGTGTACAACTGAAGGGTAATTAGTCATTGGCAATGATATACAAATCTTGGGCATGTTACTATATTGTTTTTTTGAGGCACAGCCTATGGGAAGTAAAATCCATCATTAAGCAGTGATATTTTTCTTCTGCAGAATTAGTTGCACCAGACATTAGCAAGTTGCCTGATAAAGCTGCGATTCAAGATGAAGACTTTCAAGTGCGACTGTACTGTAATGCCACTGGGCACCCAAAGCCAACTCTTACTTGGTACTTTGAGAGAAATGGAGAAAAAGTGCGCATCAATGAGAAAGGAGAAGGATTGGGTGGAAATGTAGATGCCTGTGAGAAACGGACCTCTGGCTACTTCTTTTTAGTAGACAGAAATCCTTCTGACCTTGTGATTTGCCGCCCAAAGCTACAACAAATAGGAAAATATACATGTCGTGCTAGCAGCCCTAGATTCAAAGTTAAGGAACAAAGTGCATTCATCAATGTGTTTAGTGAGTAGTTTTCAATTGTGTTGTGATATAAGTCTTTTGATGCTGTATATCTTTACCGACTTACGCACAAACATGTTAATGTACCATCAGACAGGGTTTTTACTCGAAAATGTAGTTTTGGAAAATGAAGTTATTGATTTGGGAGCTTTTGGGTTGAATGAAAAAGCTGGATATTCATTTTTTTCCCTTCAAAGTGGATTTCACAGCAGAATAATGCATCATGCCAGAACATCTTGGTAGGGAAGACATGTTTGGTCTATTCTTTTGTAAAATGTAGGAAAAGAATCCGAGCTTGTGAGGGAGATCATAATCCCAATTCTCTAGCTCATAGTCAGTCTATTGCTCACTCTGGCTTTTCAGGTGCTTACAGTTCCTATTGTTTCAGATTGTAGAAAAATAACATTTCCTGTTCCATAACTGACTGCTTCTTTTCCCCAAATAGTGGCAGCTAAAATCAAAGAGCCGGTGGATGGGTACGAAATTCAGAAACTGAAAGTTGGCCAGAAATTAAATGTGACATGCAGAGCTGAAGGAAACCCACTGCCTAATGTATCATGGGTACAGAACAGTACTGGCAAGGTGATAGCATCTGATCTGGGCTCCCTCCAGCTTAATAAGGCTCTGGAGAAAGATGCTGATTTTGGTAGTTATAAATGCATTGCTCGCAATCGCTTGAAAAACAGTGGATGGAGAAAGGATGAAGTTCACATAAAAGTGATCAAATGTAAGTTGGTAACTGCATTTGGAATTATGTTAGATTATACAGTTTAATGTTCAAATGACAGTCAAGGCTCGGTTTCTCCTTTAACCCCCAAGAGTGATTGGCATCTAATTACTGCGTACAGTAACACTGCTAAAACAAACACTGAGGCAATGAGAATGAAGGAAATTATTGCCAATTTAAGTTCTCCTTGCCAGTGTTGAAGAAAATGTTTAGAAAACAATAATTGTGGAGAGAATATACATCGTGATGTTAAGGGAGTAAAGAAGGCAAGCTGTCCTCTGTATTCTTCAATGACCAAGAGCTGCTCTGAGTTTGGATGATTTATTGTCCATTGCAAAGTTCTGACATTAGAACAATTAGCTCCTTCTTAAAGGTTGTCTTGTATTTAGAACTGCTGCAGAGGAGAAACACTCTCGAACAGAAACAAACCTCTTGCTTGTTAAGTTAAGTACCACAGGCCGGGGGGGGGGGAGAAAATACATGTTCAACCAAGATATGCAGCCAAGTAATACTTAATGTCTTGATCAAGTGCTGCAGTCTAAAATTTAGAAGTATAGTATTTGATATTTGTTTGTTCTTTGCTCTTTCTTGTTTGGTTCTTTTGTTTATTAGAACCTCTAAAGGTAAAGAGAGCACTTCCATTGTACAGTGTTTAGGTGCATGTATTTATATTTTTGTCTTTTTTTTTTTTGCCTTGTGAAGTTTCCACTCCTGTTACAAGAGCTGGAGGGTCTCCACTGAGTACTGGTGCCTTGGTTGGAATTGCCATTGGTGTGGGTGTCTTGGTTCTTCTTGTACTAGTGATATGTTGTGTGGTGTATCGCAGACAAAAGAGACAGATTGACGAATACAAGGAGATTTACTTCCTACGAAGCTCAGACTACCAGGTAATCTGAAACTTCCAGGATCTGATCATTAGTTCTCCTTTTTAGTTGCGGAGGATTTCTTGTGAAATCATTTGAGAAATTGTTGTTTTATCTAGATAATGCTTCTAAGCTGCGAGGGGGTTTGTTCTCATATGAAATATGAACATAGCGATGTTTATTGTCATAGTAAATGTGGGGTGATGCTTGTTGTTCAAGTTACAGTACCTGTTCCCTTTTAAAGTGATTAGTTAACTATTGCTGGATAGGCAAGAGTTTGTTTGTATGTTTGTAAATACTATCGTTACTTATGAAAACATTTTTGTGTTTAGATCGACCCCGACCGCAGCCTCCTGGAGCAGTGCAGCGATCTGCCATATGACCCAGACTGGGAATTCCCCGAGGAGAGACTTATTCTCGGGGATGTGCTGGGTGCTGGGGCCTTTGGTCAGGTTATTAAGGCAGAAGCTATCGGCATCCTGGCCTTTGAACCACGTGATAAGAGCGCCGAGTCATTCAAGCGACGCTCGAAAATACGCAGGTCCTCGCGGGCCAAAGATCTGAAGAAAGAAGAAGGCCCCGGATGGAAAAACACGAGGATCCCTGTAGCAGTGAAAACCTTGAAAGGTCAGTGGAAAGCAGCTTGATATACCAATCAAACCCCAAAGAGTGACTGGGTTCTTATTTCTCCCTTTAGTATCACCCTTGAATAAAATATAAAGGTAATGAGAACAAGGAAAAGATCACCAATTCCGGAAGCTCCTGATTGTCATCAAATTCTCCTCGGTAGCACCATAGAAGATGTAAAGAGAACAGTGTGGAGAATATGAATATTAATTTCAATTGTAAAGAGTTAAGCTTAATATCCTAATGCCTTCACTGATTTTTTTTTCCTTTTTCTTTTTTTTCATGCGACGAACCTCGTTCTTCTAGAGAGTTAATTAGAGATTGTTTTCGTGAAATTTTGGAATTTCTGTAACATACTTGTCGTTGTCGTCATTGCTGTTGTCATCATCATCGTCAATATTTTTGTATGCATTTTAATCAGTGTTCTATCTTTTTTTTTTTTCCCAGAGGGTGCAAGTGAATCAGAATACAAAGATTTAGCCTCAGAACTCAAGATCCTTATCCATCTTGGACAACACAAAAACATAGTGAATCTTCTTGGAGCTTGTACACGTGGAAAGCGACTCATGGTGATTATGGAATTCGCTCCCAACGGCAGCTTACTGTCTTTCCTTCGAGGTAAAAGGGATATTTATGAGCCAGACTGGACGAAGACCACCAATGACCCGAATAAAGAATTTACACTTGTCGATCTCGTAATGATCAGTTATCAGGTCAGCAGAGGAATGGCATTCTTGGCTTCAAGGAAGGCAAGTTTTTTTTTTTTTTTTTTTTTTTTTTTTTTTTTTTTCACTTCATTTGTGATCTGCCACGCTAAATTGTTTTGCCTTAGTTTGCAGCGCGGACATTCTGTATTCCAAGAATTAATTGGAAAAGTCTATGAGCTGATTGAATTGTTTTTGGAACTTGCCTGGCAACCAGGAGCTCCTCCTTTAAGCGTTATTTCCATGCTAGGAAACTCCTCTTGATTTGAACTTTGAGCATCATAGAAATACCACAATGAGAGAAGTCAAATTTGCAGTGTTAAGACTATACTGACATCAGTAATAAATCCCTCTCCAGTGTGTGCACCGCGACTTGGCCGCAAGGAACATCTTGGTGGGTGAAGACTATGTAATGAAGATTGCAGACTTTGGTCTTGCTAGAGACATTTACAAAGATGATCTTTATGTGAAGAAGACGCAAGGATTACTGCCAGTAAAGTGGATGGCTCCGGAGTCTCTGTTCGACAGAGTTTACACTGAGAAAACGGACGTGTAAGTTTTGCTGCTCTCAAAGATGTACGCTTTTATGTACGTAATTATATTGTTGACGTTCCGTTGCTGCAATAATCCCACCAATTGAAAACAGTTTAGATTTGTGATACTGATATGGGAGATTTAGCGTGAAATAACCTTCGAATTTATACAACTGGACTGCACACCCCCTATCAAGAGCTCCGAGAAGTTATTTTGGGGAATGAAAAGTAATTTCATTTTGATCGTCCGCGACTGTCTCGTATAAAGAATATGTCTAAATGTTAATTTTAACTAATTTGTCTAATCTCCAGGTGGTCTTTTGGTATTCTGATGTGGGAAACATTTACCCTTGGAGGTACCCCATACCCCGGTCTCCCCACGGAACAGCTTCTTGATTACCTAAGTGAAGGGAAGCGGATGGATAATCCAGCCAAGTGTCCACTGGAAGTGTACACCGTCATGAGGGACTGCTGGCTTCACGACCCTGAACAAAGGCCACACTTCGCTACCTTGAACGAGCGACTGGGAAAAATCTTGGAAAGGCACATGACAACGGTATAGACTGCTATGACATATTTTTATTTTATGACATGTATCTTTTACTGGCGACTGTTTTTGAAAAAAGTTAGCAAGGATCTCAATTCTTCACGATGTCTTTGCCACACCCCAAGCCTGATTTTGTTTCGATTTTTCTCTCGTCTCGTCAGACGGACAACTAGAGACAAGCTATTTTTAGCAGTCTTTCACCCAGTTATGCAGGGGCCTTCCTCATAAAGAACATTTTCAAATGGTTGCTCCATAACTGAACGTTTAATTGCCGTAAATATTCTTCTTTCGAATGTAGTCGTGATTATTCTGTCCTTCCTCCCTCAGGAGAACCCTTACCTTGCGCTTGAGTTGGACGATGATGAGGGTGTTGAAAGTCAGGGGTATTATCTGCAGCCGTGTGATTCAGGTCTGCGAGATTCCAAGCGATATGTAAAGTCACCAATAAGCTCTCCGACAGGCGAGCTTCCGCCGAATACGACCCCGGAAGGAGCTGGAATGGAGTAAGTTAAGAAAAATCACCAAGACTACGAATTTATCGACAGTATTCGTCGGATGACCTTTGCTTTCTGTCGCTCATCCTTCTTTCCACGTTAGTCAAATCAGACGCCAAATTCTCCCAACCCTCTGCTCCCCATGTTTAAACACTTTCCGTGGGAAAACTGGGGTCACCGTGTTTGGGAGAGAATATATTAACCTTTTTTAACCATGGAATCTTTCTGTTCATCTTCAGGTACGATTCTCCGTTACCTGCTTTACCACCAGGTCTGGACGTGATGAGCGACGACGAAATCAAAAACGCACCCCTCCCTTCCATCCCTCCCTCGTATGAAGAAGCTTTGAGCGACGAAGATGAGTCCCGGCCAATGAGAGGTGGGAGGACGAACAGTGCAGCAGGAGAGAGCGGTATTGACGTGGATGGATTGGACGATGGTGATTACATTGACGACATACGAGGGGATACCCCCTTCCTTTCCCCTGTGGAAAAGATCCCAGAAACTGACGTTTTGCAGAAAGGAAATAGACGCAAGATCGAAACAGCACTTTGAGAATTTCAATTCCACTCCTTCAAATTTTGAAGTTGTCGAAATTCAGAACAATAAGTGAGTTGCAGCTGTACGAAATAACCGCACAGTTAAGGATCATTCGACCTTTGTGTATAGACACTATTTAAACAGCCATTGCCAAAGATACACATGCTACATCGAAAGGGAAAGTAAGCTCCACCCAGTTCATCTTTTAAGTTAAGCCTGTCGCCCAACGTGACAGATGATGTAACAAAACTCAGTAACGATTCGATTTACTGCTTACACTATTTATTTTTGTTCTTTTACTAAGAGGGTGTCATTTGCTCTCCTTTGGAGCTAGAAATGACTGGTTTATCACTCGTTTGTTAAGCTCTTTTCTGAGATAACTTTCTCTTAGAGTTCCTATATTTGAGACGAGTCTTGTGAAACTCATATGACTACTGTTAATCTTACTCAAGGAATTAATGTACACTAATTACGCTCTGTATATCTTTAAATGAATGGGTATATTTTTGAAGAAATAATGTAGATTCAATCTTCGAATTGAATTTTTGTTACTTTTCTGCTTTCTAAGTATTCTCTAAGTGAACCTCGTAATGGTGAAAGATTTTACAAAACTAATTTTAGAAAGGAAATGAGCTATTCTGATATAAAGTTTCAGTGACATGTGACCATTATAAAATGCAAAGTGAAGTAACGATATCCATCGAAACAAAGTGTGAAATTGCTTGCTTTCATTTCTCTGTGTAAAGTTACGATCCGTTTATCATTAGCAGTTGATAGTAGTCGCGCGTGTGGTCAGCGAAATGTTGTTCAGTTTTTCTTAGTTTCATTCATAAATGCAACAAAGCTACGTTTGGCTCATATCATGTCAAGTTATTTATTCGAAATTAACTTTTGAATTCCGCTGTATAAACATGTCGCATTCAGACCAAATCTGAAATGTTAAACTTGAGCGATTTTCTAACAGAATGTTTAAAAAATACGTAGATGGCACTTTTAAACAACGTCCTCACTAGAAATGTATATCAAATGAGATTAGTAACATTTTCATTGTATAGGTATATTTAGGCGCAAGCAACTAATTAAATATCTGATAATAAAAAGGCTTTCAATTCAAATCCCTGTAAGGAGTGTTTTAATGGAAGCAGGTTTGTCCCCGATCAAATTTCCTCATCTCCACAGCACTTTCAGGGGAAATCAACTCAGTCCCTGGCTTTACGGGAAGTACTCGACTGCGGCCCTATAATGAGCGTCGTTTGCATATAGAATCGTCACACTTAGAAAAGAGAAACGTTCAGGTTTCTTTTTTAGAGTTTCAGGAACGTGCTCTACGAACGGCGTAAAGGAAGGTCTGGAAACGCTATTTCAATCAGGCACAGTGACAAAAGCTAGCAAGAGGCTCTGGCGAGCGCCAAAACGAGGTCATAAAAATTTACCACCATTTGACATACGCTTTTTACTTCTTTCAAAAATGCTTCAATTAGCTTAAGGTTGTTATACGCAGTACATCCGCGTAAATTGAAAAAAAAAAAAACGTCTGTATTCGTAATTTTTTTTTAAAAAGCGTACTTCTGATGTATTTATGTTCAACGTTAAGAAAAATTAAACTTGTACGATTACTATACAGAATGGTGAAAATTACTTCTTGGTCTAAAATCTGAACAAGAGACCCAATACAATGGCTACCCGAACCCTAAAAAGCGATGAAGCGATGGCAAATTTTCCCTCCATCCCTCTTGTGTCGAGATCATACCATGCATTTTGTAAATATTCCCAAAAGCATTCCTCACTGTTAAAAGGCGAAATTTAATCTCGCTGCTAAATACCCTGACACTCAAAAAAGTAACTACACTTTAAAATAACAATACGTTAGAGAGAAAAACACTGTAAAGCGATGCGACGAAACAAACCTATCAGCTGGAAGGTGTTTACCATGTAAAAAATACATCGCATTCGTTTCACTTAACTACGGAAACATGTTTTACACCTAAAATGGGGAGATCCACCGATAAGGTTGCTGTAGTTTAGAGGTTGGGCAAGCGCCTATGAATTTGGAACAGCTTTGCTTCTTGTTATATTTCAGTTTCTTTAGAATTTGACTTAAGTTTTGCTTTAGCGGTTACTTTTGAGGTAGGTATAGCAGAAACACGAAGAGGCCTTAATTCTGCTACTGCAGAAGCTTCGTCGTTGCCCTCCTCCAAACTTATTCCGCTCTCGTTCCCTGACAGGCTTCCATCGGCCCCTAGATCCACCATTCTATATCTTTCGTCTTGATCCAGTTCCTGCTCGGTATCCATGTCTCGAGACAACGGGAGAGAGGGACTGGACTTAACATCGTCACTCGTTTGTCTAAAATAAGATACCGCATTTAGATTAAAAGTACTTGGCTTTATGTGTTTCTTGGTCGAGACAAAGTTTAAGGGTTTCTTGTGGCGTAAACCTTCCTAGGTAACGTTTTCTTTCTTCAAGAAAAACGGCAAGTCAGTGTTATCACCATCAGGGTTTGCGTTACTCACTTTTCGTCTATGCATTAATTATCACTGTCATAATTAGTCACGAGCGCGATTTTTGTGAAAATCCAAGGTATGTTCCATTTCCAACATATTATATCAGAGCCCTTGAAATAACATCAAGGTCTTACAAATTGCATTCTATTTCCTAGGGGTAGTGGGTCCCAGCTGGGCAGCATAGAGGGAGGATCTCATCAAATGCCACGACATATCCCTAATGAATCAAGCCTCATCATAATTTTAACTTAACAACTTTGCACTTGGAGTACATTTGTAGGAAAATATAAAATACCAATCGGATTGAAAGCTAACCTGTTTAAGCCAGCTAAACTTGTTTGCGGAAAGTTGGATTCTGTGTTATAGGGTGTGACGTAATAATCATTGGCAGGTCGGTTGTCTCCTGTGATACTTACGTATGCCGAGTTAGTTTGCTGTGGAGGAAAAGGAACATTTTCAAAGGAATACAATAGAGGAAACCTTAATTACAGGACATTCTCGTAATCCTACCTATTGGGCCAAAAATAATGGAAATCCTTTGTGTCAAGCTCAGTGGTTGATGTTGCTCGAGGTAGCTTAGTGTCTGGTTTGTTAAAAATCAAGGCGAGTGATTGACAATTCTTTTGACGTACCCAGCTTATCAAAACCTCTCCGAAGAGTGTCGGCGGATAGTGAAAACGTCTCTAACTTAAAAGCCAACTCAACATACAGATTTAGACAAAGACTAACGGCTTCACCTTTGAAGTGTGTAACTCTAGTATCCTTCCGATTCGTTCACTGAGCTGTAAGAATGTAGGCCGCTGATCAGGATTTTGTTCCCAACAGTCCCTCATAATAACGTACATGTCCAAAGGACAGTTGTGCGGCTGCTCCATCCGCTCACCGTCACTGAGCATGTCCATAACTTCTTCCGCAGATTGGGTGGGGTAAGGTGTTCCTCCGAGCGTGAAGATCTCCCACAGGCAAATACCAAATGACCATCTGCAAGGATCAAAGAAAAGAATTAGCAATTACGCGACTGTACGTAGAGGTTTCACATCAAATATACAAGCACCATTTTCACCTGGACGAAAATGAACTTTCATAATATTCTAAAATCGAAAGGAGACTGTCTTAAAGAGAACTGCAGTTTACACGTCAAGTGATGCCTTGTATGGGCGGCAGAATATCGAAAGAAACAAGAGATTGATCCTTGAGTCAGAAGCCACTCAACTTACAAAAACGACGACGAACCTGAAACAAATTGGTGCGAGATGGGCTTCCTTACAACTTTGCTAAACTTACTTCCTATTTTTCATTCCGATAATCGATAACAGTTCGTTTGGCCAACATCTCAGCAGAACACTCAGAAAAGTCTTAGGATAAAAGAAAATCTACGAGAACTTACACATCACTTTTTTCAGTGTAAACTCTGTCGAACAATGATTCTATCGCCATCCACTTGATGGGCAGAACTCCTTGAGTTTGTTTCACGTACATATCGCTTTTGTAAATATTTCGAGCTAAACCAAAGTCAGCGACTTTCATGACGTAATCTTCTCCGACGAGAACATTCCTTGCTGCTAAGTCTCTGTGAATACACTAAAAATACATCCACAATTAAACGAAAAAAAGGAAGATAACGTTCCACAACTTCTTGGTTTTTTGAGTAACTACAATAAAATTTTTACAAACCAAAAAGCAGAAAGAAAAGACTTAAGATATCAAGATGTCAGATTGTGACTCTTTTGTATGTCCCCTTTAAAACTCCACTTCCTCATTAGTTGTCTGGTTTTTTTTTTTGTTTTTCCGAATTGCTCGTTTCTTTCTCTCTTCACCTGCCAATGACTTACAGTGATTTGCACAAACTGAGGGCCTTCAAAAAGCGAATCAGCTAAACAATTCAGCAATCACTTTTCAAGAAAATATTACGCACATTGAATATCCTATCGAGTTTTTCCCTTCTCCCTAGGTCGTTCTCCACTCCACAGGACTCGATCCTAACGAAAAAGTCGATATCTCTCGATCTCTCCCTTTATCAGTTATAGCATAACTTTGTTTACTAGTGATGTGGATATTTAAAATTTCTTAATAAAGAACCCCTGGCACAAAACAAACGCACCAAATGCTACAATCTAAGAAAAAAATCGATTCAAAACCAAATGTATCCATACCTGTTTTGAAGTTAAAAATTCCATTCCACGTGCTATCTGGTAAGCAAAAACTACCAAATTCTTGATCGTTAGTTCATTTTCTGGGTTATTCGTTGTAGTTATCCAGGTGGGCTCGTAAATTTCTCGCTTGTTTCGTAAGAACATTAACAAGTTTCCATGTGGTGCATATTCCATGATGATGAACAAGCGATCGCCTTTTGTACAAGCCCCTAATAGGTTAACAATATTCATGTGCTCTCCGACATGTATAAGAATCTTCAGCTCAGAGGCGAGGTCAGCGAAGTCCTCTTTCTTGGCGTTACCTACAATACAGACAGAGGCACCAAGTCAAAATTGGCCACAAACAACCCTATCAAATACTTTTAAAGGTATTTCGGTGAGGATTTATTGGTTATCTCGCTTCAAAAGTTATCAGCTGCTGGATGGCAAAATTAAACCTTCAACGAACAAATCTGCTACCATTTTCTAACCGTCAAAAGATCTCATACTAAAATGCCAGTTGCGTCGAAATTGGACGGATACTTTTATCACGCCCTTTCCATCTCAGAATCTAATCTGTACCTCGACCATTATGCGATGATCGACATGCTCATGTGACAAGGCTATGCAAGAGGCTTATTTGAATCATGGCAAATGATATTTACTCTTCAGCGTCTTGACTGCAACAGTTGTCTTCACGTAAGGAATTCCGCTAGAATCCTGATACACCCTGCTGCTACTAATGCGACGTAGTATTTTGGACCGACGTTTTACTTTCTCTGAACTTTTGTCGCGGGGATGAAAGTCCGCAATTCCAATGGCCTCTGCTTTAATGACCTCACCGAAGGCCCCTGATCCCAGCACCTTCCCGAGAGTGAGCCTTTCCTCCGGAAACTCCCAATCTGGATCGTATGAAAGATTCTCACACTGATCCTGAAGAGTACGGGCGGGATCAATCTGAAAACAATTTACCAACAAGTGAACAAGAATTAAAAACCTTTCAAGGAAATTTCGTAACAGTAGCAAGTTATTCCGTGGTTGCTATCAGTTTCTTTCTACCAGTTGATCAATTTCTCGCACTGCAGCGGCAGAACGGTCCCTTGTACTAAGTTCCAGTCCACCCAATCGCATAGTTCCTGCGCTCAGTACGGTTTGAACGTCTTTTCACGCCATGGTTCATGGCACCTAATGTGCCGGTTTGTGTTTATACCTTGCCCCCCACCCCCAAGATTGCAACCCGTTGCACCTGTTTCCCGTGACCATCCAGTTGAATTTGGCAATTTCTACAAATAATATTAAACTAGCACACCTGTCTAGGGAAAAGAACAGATTGCACGCGTTCACGATCCTGTATAACGTGCATTTTCAAGATTTCCATAACTTAGGAATACGCAAAAACAAACAAACGAACAAACAAACAAACAATTGAATAAAACAACAGTACCGTACCATAGCAGGTTCAAAAGTCACAGGGAAAAACTGACTGTGATATTCTTTAATCTTCTGACGCTGGCGGCGAAAAAATACACAACAGACTAAGATGACAATAAAAAGGACAAAGAGAAGCACTCCAACAACACTGAGAGCGATGAGCATCTCTCTGCTTGATCCTTCTGGAGCTGTGCTCGGTTGGGGGTTGTCTGCCTCTGCTAAGAGGAAAGGAAGTGAAACATATTCATCATGTTTGTTAAAGGGAGATTATCATTTGGAGGGACCGTAGCAGCGATCTTAAGTCCAACCGTTTTCGCAGTCATGGAGCTAGAAAGTAATTTTGATGATTAAGTTTTGACGATTTTAACTCTCAGTTTTTATAAATCACTACTCGTGCCTGAACCTGTTACAAGCTCACGCTCACGCGAGTTTTCTGTGATTTCGAATTTGTAATAATTAACGTGAAACTTGGCTAACTTCGTCAACCTACCCAATTCGACGAATGCAACTGCAATTCCTTTTGAATTAACGGCTACACACAAGTACATTCCGAGATCCTGTTTACTGACAGACTCCAACAATAACACCACCTCCTCGTTGTTGTACTGTTTTTGAGTGAATACTAAATTTCCATTTCCATCCATTCTTTTCCATTCTACTTTTGGCACAGGGTTGCCAGTGACTACGCACGTACTATTCCATGGCTCCCCTAGTTCAACCGAACGACTTCCATTGGCTGGACGTATAATCACAGGGTTCTCTGAAATTAAAAATGTTTCACGCATAAATGGCATTAACTCTTGACGAGTAAAGCAGTTCAGAAGCCCTGTGATCTCTTGAAGTCCTTTCCTTCTTTAAACCTCCCTTCCCTCCCTTCCCCTTCCTCTCCACTCCTTCTTCTCTCGTCCCTTTCGCTCCTTTCCCTGCTCTCCCCTCCCTTCTCCACCCAACCCCTTCCCTTTCCTCTCTTCCCTTTCGATCCCTTCTCCTTTCAGCTCCTGCTCCCCTTCTCTACCCCCCTTCTCCTCCTGTCCTGTCCCCTCCCCTATCCTTCCATCCCTTCCCTGCTCTCCCCTCCCTTCTCCACCCGGCCCCTTCACTTCACTTTCCTCCCTTTCGATCCCTTCTCCTTTCAGTTCTCTTTGCTCCCCTTCTCTCCCCTCCCTTCTCATACTGTCCCCTCCCTTCTCCTTCCGTCCCTTCCAATCCCATCCCTTCTCTCCCCTCCCTTCTCATACTGTCCCCTCCCTTCTCCTTCCGTCCCTTCCAATCCCATCCCTTCTCTCCCCTCCCTTCTCGTACTGTCCCCTCCCTTCTCCTTCCGTCCCTTCTAATCCCATCCCTGCTCTCCCCTCCCTTCTCCACCCATCCCTTTCCTCTTTCACTCAGAATACTTTTCAATATTCAACTGATCAGTTCAAAGATAGATTTTTAGTAATGACTTGTCAAGTATAAAATGTCAGCGGCACAACTGAATATTTACTGAAATTTCACACTAACTACGAAAACAATTTGTTACTGGTTTTCTAACTTCTCCCATTGCGAGCGAGTCACGAAATAACAACAATATCTGACTCCATTGCTCATTGGGCTCTCCATTCACTTACCCAGTACATTAAGAAAGGCAGTAGCGTTACTTTCCCCTTTCCTATTTGCCGCTTTACAAGTGTAGAACCCTGTATGAAGAGTGTGTGCAGGCTTACAAATGATGAGTTTCCCAACAACACCATTTACTCGATAGAAACCAGGAGAACGAGTTTTACAGGCCGAGGGTAATAGTCTGTCCATGACTTCAATTTGATTTCTAAGGGGCTGACTGCCTCTAAACCACTGTACCTGACTTGGCATCGGATGAGCAGAAACATTACAAAATAATTCAGTGCTAATTTGATGATAAGCTGTCTGATTTTCAAAGTTGAGTATACTTGGTGGAAAAACCTCTGAAAAGAGAACAAAGCAAATGGTGTAAGCAACTGGAATACACAAATCTGCAACATGGGTGAGCAAAACCATTAACTGTACTGTTTCTAAGGGAGGATTCCACTGCTGGAGCAAGTTGCTGTTAACACTTGAATTCCCATGAGTGACCAAGACATAATTACTCCTTCCAATATCAATACAATATCAAGAAGGGAAGTGATGGGAATAAAAAAATCAATTAGGGCATTATTAGTGGATTCAATACCAAATTCTCCAAACTGACATCATAAGAATTGTATAGCAGACAGCAGGGAGAAATTTACCAATGAGATCTTGGGAGCGTAAGGGTTTGTGATAGCAAAAATTGTTGCACCTGTACAGCCTCTTCTGTTTTAACCCTTCATCTCTGGAGAATGATTTTACGCATAAAAATTCTCCTGACAATGTCATGTCAACACAATACCCACCAAACAGTTGGTAAGAAACTTATTAGTTAGGGGGTGTTATCTCAAAATAATATGGATAAGACATGAAATATTCCCATGATATCATCATCATAACACAATGGTATTATCACAGGAACAGAGTAAACAGGGAAGGTTTGGTTTTATGGTACTCACAGACAAACTGATTACTTACTGTTGACTTTGATATCCTTCGACACATTCAAAGGTTTACTTTGACAGTCAGTAGCTGCACAAATGTACACTCCAGAATCATTGACAGTAAGTTTTTCCACCACTAGATCTGTCCATGTCAAGTCACTCTCAGTCCCAAATGTTACATTGATTCTTGGATCAGTAGCTGCCAACAGCTGTCTACCATCTTTGTACCAACCTGTCATTTTACCTTTGCAAATCCTAACACATCTCATACTTAAAGTATCATCTTCATCATACTCTTTTGTTGCTGTTGTGATTCTGACAGAATCCATACCTATGGAGAGAACATGTAGTTCACACAAATTTTTTGTTATTTAATTCATACATTTTTATGCAATATCCAATACTTTTCTTATATAGTTCAACCTCAAATTGTAGGCTAACTTATTGCAAGCATAATTATCATCATAGTAATAGCCATTCTACTATAGTGCATGTAACAACCTACAAGAGTAATTGTGATCAGTTTGGGTGATGAGAGCTCTCAAAATTCAGCAATACATGTAGCCAAGTTATTACTTAGCATTCAGTTTAATTCCCTAACATCAATTTCAGTAACAAAATGTAACATTTTGAAGTCATTTAATCTGAAAAAGTGAAAAAAAAGTTAAATTTGTTGCATACTGTCTCCAGACCCAATTCAACACTTTTCATCCAAAAAAACCTTTACTCTCAAAAAGTAATCATTTTGCAGATTTCTTTATTATCAATAATTCCACACTATGAAAGAAGTATGGATTCAGTATGATGCATCTAATTTAGTGGCATTTCATCATCTTCTGCGGTAATAATTATTACTCATAACTCACCACTAGCAAAGAATCGCATCATATTTTCAGCACTTCCTCCTGTGTTAGTTGCCACACATCTTAAAAATCCTGACTGAGTGTCTTGTGGAATGCCAACAGTGCTTCTTTTAGTGGCAACACCACTAGGTGGAGAAATGACAAAGCGAGCAGGAAGGTCTTCCCATCTGTTGTTGTCTGGGTAACATTCTGGATTGGAGTTTAAACACCGGCCATTTTGATGCTGCCATTTGAAAGTTGGCAATGGATTGGATTGGCTGATCTTGCAGTAGATTTCTCTACTTGTCCAGAATGACTTTGACTTATCCAAAGAGGGTACAGCTGAAGAAAATAACAAATTATCTAGATTAGGTATCTAACACAGTGTAATTATGCTGAATTATAACAATCACACAGCTCCCAAAATGAACTTTTTAAATGGCCTATGCACAGCTAATCATCTGAAAATTAACCCCTCCATTTGCAGTTTGTATGCTTTCATGATGGACTCAGTATGTCAAAAGTTAGAGTAAGAGCCAAATCTCTGCTACTACAGAGGTAACTTAACCTGGCTTCTCAAGCCCAAAACAAGCTAGAGCTCTGAACAAAATAAGTCAATTTGCAATGGCACAGGAATTCTTAGGGGGCTGACAGCAAAAGGCTATATCAACTAAAAGAAATCATCCATTTGACCATAAAAAAAACTATTTATGATTTTTATAACACATACTCTCAATGGAAACTTCCATGTTTTTTTCATCATAACCCTTGCTGTTCCTTGCTACACAGGTGTAAGTCCCATTGTCTCTTGGAAAACTTGTACTCTCTATGATAAGTTGGCTCATTGAGGTAAGCCACTCCTCATTGGTTTCTTGCAGCACTTTGTAACTTTCCCCCATGCAACCTTGACTTGAAGTTATTAAACACACTGACATTTCTGCTCCATTATGAATCCAAGTGAAGTTAGACAATGGGAAGCCGCGTGCCCGACAAAGCATTAACAACCTATCTTTCTCCTTAACAGTTCCTGATTCCTTAAAAGACTTTAAAATTATATTGGGTGCAAAATCTGTTGGCAAATAAAAGGAGAAAAAAAGGCTTATCATTCAAAGTTTCCGAGCTACCATTTCCTGATACATTTACACCATTAGCAAATGGGGCTGTCTTACTTCAAATATACAACTGTAATTGTCTCAGAGAAAAAAGTGAAAAACCCTAAATGCAATAAAACTTATTGTCACATTGTTGGGCATCCTGGCATATTTGGGGTTAAAAAGGTTTTAGGCTTCATGCACACTCACATGATTGGGCAGGTTATTTTCTTGTCTCTTATGCAGGTTGTTTTATTATTTTTTTCAGTTTTTATTTGCTCGGTACCCTCAAAAGTGATAATGAATAGTAAGACAGTTTATGCTCTTAGGCATGTAATTTATATGTTTTAGGCTGTTCTCAGAGTCATTTTAACCCTTGCCTGGTGGCTTGGCCTAAGTCGGCCTAAAACACAACAATGCCTGTCAACAAAATCTGCATCTTTCATTAACAGGAAAAATAATCACCTTTTTTATGATCTTAATATTGTTAGCAAACATATGCTATAGTATTGAATTAAGTCTAATATCAATTATTGATCTATAAATTACTTAATTTTTAATCAACAGTCACATCAGTGATAAAGATTTGGAGCTGTTCTAGCCAAAAATGGGATCTGCTTCATCATCAGCATCATTTATTTGTATGTTTGACAATACAAAAAAGCACTTATCTACAGCATTATAATTTATAGAAGGCAAGGAGACCCAGGAAGCCACCAGCCTTATAGGAGAGGCCATCTCAGCTACAACAATATATTGAAAAAAGAATAAGTCCTACAAATGTGTGGCTTGGCCAATTGAGTGACTACTTAATTAAAAACTCTCGCATTTTCAGCTCAAATTAAAGAAGATTTGACAAACAAGTGACTGAAACAGGAACAGAGTAATCCAGATTTTAATACCTTGGTAGAAAATTGCAAATTGCCTGAGATTTGTACGACACAAATGAGTTCAATAATTATTGGTTGTCCTGATACTATAGCAGTGAATATGGCTATTTGTTACCAAAAGGTTGAGAAGTAATGGGGGCAATAGGTCATTTTCATAATAAAACATGAATTTGGAAATTCAAACTTACTGACTTCAAAAATATCTAAAATTCCTAGTAAATTGATCTATGAATTACTTCATTTTTAATCAATGATAATTAATTAATTTGACTGAGGACCAAAATGACTGAAAAATGGACTTGTCGTCCCTGAATCTTTCCTTGCAAGGATGACTGGCTGCACAACTGTCCCAAAATTTTAAGACAGGATCTTTGCTTCAAAGGAACTATGGACTTATGGCAACATAATAGTTGAGAGACTGAGACGAAGACCACTTTTTTGTCATGAGGCTTTAATAGGAGGATGGACCATGCTTGATCTCAATGCATAGTCATGTACTCTTAGACTAGCAGTGCTATGACTGAAACAGAACAGGGGTGATTGTTGGACTAGGGGCACTTGTTAGTATAGGACACTTTTTGGAATGAAGGTGCTAACTCAATAGGGCACTTATTAGAATAGGGGCACTTATTAGAATAGGGGCACTTATTGACAAATTTGAAGGGGGTGATTATCAGAGAGGGGACCCTTACTAGAAACAGAGTTCTACATCAAATAATTATGGTATGTACATGTCAGAATATGAAATTATGTTGTGTCTCATGATTACTATTAAAACTCACCTTTGACTACTAGCAAACGTAGAGGGTAGGAAGTTGCTCTACCCCTGTAGGTTATCTGGCACCGATACGTTACACCCTCTGCTGGTGTAAGTTGTGCATTTGTAATTGTAAGAACAGAATGGCCATATGATACAACAGTTTGCTTGTGCATTGTGTCACCTTGACGAATTTCTACATGAGTTCCATTCTCTTCTCGAAACCACCTTAAGGTAAAATACTTTGAGAGACTATCAGTAATAACGGCTTTGCAAGTGAAATTTGCGCTTGTACCAGCCTCCATAACCTTTACTTCAGGAGTCACTATTGGACAGCATGCTGGTTTCTCTAGAGACAAAAAATTAATTTAAACATATTACACTCAATCATTAACTGCCATCCAAGATATCCCTTTATTGTCTTGGTACACATTTATCATCTTTGTTGGTACAAGTTGGTTAGTTCCTTGTCCAGGTCCAGATTACCTACTTAGCTGGCAGGAATAGCTGTACTTTATCCTTGACACACCCTTTCATGAAGCTCAAAATAAAAATGTTTCATAAACTATTTGAACAGCTTGTTGGAATAATAACTATTTACAAATTGAGTAGAAAAGCATTCATAACCTCTTCCCCTTCACAAAAATAATTACCATCTAAAAAATGTATTATAAAATGAAACTTCAAATTTAAAACAGGCAGGAACTCAGGGGTGAAAAAAAAAATTCATGTTTTGATTGGGCTTAAACTCATACTTCCCAGATATCAGTTAGATTCTTCAAACACTTGTACACCTTGAAATTTTCAAGAGAAGGTAATTTCTAATTGAATTATGGGAGTAAGAGTGATTCATATTTCAATTTGAGTCACACCTTCATAAGTGAATACGGTCTGGCAAAAAACTGTCATGCTTGAACCACTACTGGTTACACATTTGTATGTTCTTGGATCTCCAGTTGAAATGTTGTGAATAGTGAAGACTTGCTTGTGAAGTGTAACTCTGCCCCCAACAGGTAATCTAACATTGTTCAACAGCAATGTTACATTGGCATTTGGATCTGTGGTGTTACAATCAATTGTCAGATCAGTAGCACCAATCATTTCAATGATTACAGGTTTAAAACTACAACTTGTGGCATTGATGGGCAAGCCTGTTAAAAAAAAGAAAAAACACGTGCATAAGAAAAAACAAAATTAATTTACAAAACTTGGTGCAAATTATCAAGGGCAGCCAAAAACTCAAAACATGTTAAGGAATCTCATCTGGAGGATTAGCATTATTCCCAGTCACTTCAAGTACCACAACAAACTGTATGCCTTGTGCAAATGCCCTGTGCAAATGCCCTGTGCAAATGCCCTGTGCAAATGCCCTGTGCAAATGCCCTGTATTCCTGAATTAATAGCAAGAGAAAAACAAGTTTGCTACATTCTATGATCTCAAGCCAACATCTTATTCAAAGTTTGCACTTGTCTATGGCTTTTGCCTATTTAAGTTGTGTTTTGTTTTTTTTTTATTTATATCTGAATAAATTCTTTCTGCATGATTTCCGTACATGATGGTATAGACAATATTTTTCTGTCAATATCTCCTTCACTGAAGTGCAGTTTTCAAAAAGTCTTTTGCAAGTGACCTGCCAAAGATTTCCAAGATGTGGAAGTGTTAAGTTCAAAGTTTGTTTAAATTGTTTGCCACCAAATTTCAGACTCAAGTTTTCTCTAACACTTTTACTTCATATTTTGCTTCCCCTAACTCCCCTAGAATTACAGGGAAATCTTGCCCTGAATTGGAAAAAAATAAATCGAATTTAGATTTCCCTTGAAGCTGTCAAAGGTGAAACACAAAGAAAGGAGCTTTTCACAATAGCAAAACAAATTCCTCATTTGCACAAGCCAAAAAGCCCAAAGAACAAAAATCAGGATATAAACAAAGCTCTTTTCACAACAAAAACTTATTTTTGGGAGGTGCAACAAAAATACTGCAGAGTAACCATGCTGCCCACTGCAAGAGCTGCAAAATATGGACTGTGAAAAAACAAGTGAGCATGTGAATGTTTGATCCTGTTCCATCCAAACACAAAAGAGAACGCAGTTCAGGAGTAATAGCAAACACCTCAGCCATCTGTGAACCTACTGAGAATTCCTAGTTCACCTCTGAGCTCTCCCTCACCTCAGAAAAGTAATGAACCAGCCACAAATCAGAACCCAATCACAACAGAAAACATAACTGTAAAATCCACAATAAAGTCTGACAAGAAGCCAGCCCAAGATGTCAACCTGCCCCACCAGCATTGCCTTAGGTGATGTACTATTCAATTTACAAGTTAATGGAAAGAGCTGGGCTAAAGGATACTGTTGAAACTATTTTCATTGCATTTTTTTTTAATTTTCCCATTCCTTTAACAAGTTGAAAACATATTACCTTGATTTTTAAAATTTTAAGTTTTGTGGTCAGTTTGAACCTTTTATTTCCTTAGTTTAACACAGTACCACTCAAAAGCTAAAAGGTTACTCAACATTGGACATTTGCCTCAGGAAAATTTTTTGACATTTCACATCATTTCACAAAAGGTGGAAAGGTATATCATTATGCATCACAGTCATCTAGCGTGGTCTTATTCTTAATGATCAATAATGGTTTTTAAATTCCATGCACTTACGACAGCATCTTGAAACAAGTTGTGGCCTTTGCCATTAGCGTTGTGTTGTTTATAAGTATGTGAATGATTTCCTCCAATTCCTGAACAAGATTTTAAGAGTGGCCATTGTAGAGATATTCAAAATGTTAAGTATGGCAAGATTTCCGTATAACCCCATACTTCACTATGCATATAATTGTTTGATAAACGAAAACATTGGTGGAAGTAATACTTAACTTTTGGAGGCGATACTTTGTGTCGGAAAAGAATGGGGTTTTTACAGACATCTTTCCATCATCTCTTATCAGGCAAGGTTTAAAACGAAGAATAATAATGACGGTGGGATTGTCAAACAATCACAACATATTCTTAGCTTCAAACTATCTCATTTTTAAAGCTTCAAAAACTATCTACCTCAAGGTAAGGCTTTTTCACAACTGAAATAAACATGTCAGCTCACCTGTTAGCAGTAACGAAAAGCACATGGCAAGCACAACCACACTAAACGGACACATGCTTTGAATATCACGGGTTGAAGTCATTCCCATTTAAGCAATGTTAGGAGCCGTGTTTAGATAGACAACGAAGACAGTTTTACAGTTTTAAAGGTCGTACGTGCTTCGTCAAGACATTCGAAGCAAAGTCTCATTCAGCTGTACGTCACCTCACAGCTATTATATTGGTACGTCGGCAAGTTGTTTATACCCAATGAATTTTCCACTCAAAGAGCTTTCAAAATTTATATTTCCAGCCATTTCTCGGTTTACAAAAACATCATCGACGCAAGTATCCATACATCTGCTTTGCTTCTTACTTTGATTGAACTTATGACATACTCCACTTTTTCTGTATCAGCCTTAACCGCGCCCAATCGTGAAAGGACTGGGGAATTGTTTTCACTTCCCATCATTACTATCGGCAATCTGTTTATATGCTTCGAGATTGATGATCGCCTTCCTTGAGGGCCAGCTGTTTCAAACGAAATATCCCAACTACTAACCCAGATTTTAGCCTTGTGGCCAAGTGCTAAGATGAATTCTCTCGGAGAACCTGTCACAGTGTCCGAAAAGCAAGGTTTTTGTGAGGAAATGATGAAACGCCTCGATCTACAGCGAAGAAACGAACATTTTTGTGATGTAATTCTTGAAGTTGGTTCAGGTGATGATCAAGCTCGTTTGAAGTGTCACAGAATCGTGTTATGTGCAGCAAGTCCGTTCTTTTACAACGCTTTGAACAATGACATGAAAGAGAAGAAAGAAGGTGTGATCAAATTGAAACAGACAAGTAAAAGTATGAAGGAAGTACTGGAGTATGTTTACACAGGGCAAGTCGATGTCAATGAAAACAACGCTTATGAGCTCCTGGCAGCAGGGGACTATTTTTTGATTCCAAGCTTGAAAGATTTTTCGGCTACTTTTATTTTAAAAAAGCTTAGTGCTTTGAACTGTGTCGCTGCTTATTATTCAGCCATTAAGTATCGGTGTGAAAAATTAAGGGAAGGAGCCAAGGATTTTATTCATGCCCACTTTGAAACGGTCACAAAATACGACGGGTTTCTAAATTTGAGCGTTGAACAAGTGGAAGAGTGGATTTCTAGTGACGAAATAATCGTGGATGGCGAAGAGCGGGTCTTTGAGATAATTCTTAGATGGTTCGAGGCACATAAGGGAAGGAATCAACGACATTTTTACAACTTGTTACATCACGTTCGGTGTGTTTATGTGCCACATGACTATCTGTTTAAAGTCATGTTACCTCATCCTTTTGTGAACAAAAATTCGAAGTGCTCGACTTTAGTGTTGGAAGCCATGAAGATGGCTTTTAATGGAACAGGAGAATGTTTCTTCTCCCAGTCACCAAGAAATTGCCTGAAAACTCATGAAGACGCCATTTTTGCTGCACTTGCACTGGAGAATAACAACAGGCACGGCCAAGTACACCTGTTAGGCTACTTCCCTTTGCTGGATGAGTGGCGTCAACTTGATCTTCCTGATGAAATGAAACTAAAAAATTTTGATGTTCTCACTAGTGCTTATCATGGAAAATGGTATCTTCTTGGTGAAGACAACAGAAATCGTCGGGGAAGAGTTTCTTTTGGTGCAAGACCTTCCCCTATAAAACTTGCTCAGCGTTACAACCCAACACTGAACCGATGGGATCCTGTCCAGGGTCCTTTAAAAGTGCTTCGTGGATTTGCTGTAGTTACATTCCAAGGTTTCTTGTTTGTTATCGGTGGGGAGAGTGAGAATGGCTTTAAACTGAACACTGTTCAAAGGTACAATTCTGAAACAAATATCTGGCAGGAGATTTCTCCACTGAGTAGCCCTAGATCAAACCTCTGTGCATTGGCTGATGAACAATACATGTATGCTATTGGTGGAGATGGCTACCTTAAAACTGTTGAAAGATTTGATCAGAGAACTAACACTTGGAAAAAGTGTCCTTCCATTCGAACAGGTAGACAAAATGCTGGTGGAGCAGCCATGAAACAAAAATTGTTTGTATTTGGAGGACTTCAACCAAATTCAACGGTTGGAGACCCGTGTGAAATGTACAATTCATCTTCCAACACATGGACTGGAATCTCGAGTGTGGTAGCACCAAGGGGCCGGGCAAGTGCTGTGAGTTTCAAAGGAAAGATATATGTGTTAGGATGCTTTCATAATGAACAGGGAAGAGAGGAGAACAAACAGTGTCTGAAAATCTATGACATTGATAAGAATGACTGGGAGGACTGCAAAGACATTCACATTTCTGGTGACTTACGATGCACACTTTCTTGCATAAGGGTATTAAGTAAAGTGGCAAACTCATACCGTACAAATGAAACCAATGTTTTTTTATAACTTGTCAATTATGTTGAAATATATGTTAATGAGAGAAGCAAATTAGACAATTTGATAACGGGAAAGCTTGATGATTGTGAATATCTCTTACCATGAGGAGAACAATCTCTATCTTGATCAATGTTTAATCTCTGCCTGTCTATCCTAGTATCATCCAAACTATCTTAAGTAAATGAGAGTAGAAAATTGCTCTGATTTGAGCTTCACACCGCTTTTATTCATGAACAGGTGGAGAGACTAAAGTGGGTGTTGTATATGCAAATTTTGTGGCAATTGCACAGCCTGAGGAGTTTGGGCAGAGCATGCAACTTAATAAAGATGGCGAAATATCTACTCTGCGGTGCTATCTACAAGTTCACCATAGTATCGCTTTGACTAATACTATCAGTAATTGAGGGTGCTTATAGAGGTGAAGAGAAAACTACAGATAATGATGAAGAAATAACAAGCAAATGCGAACATGTAAGTGAAAAGTAACACCAAAAACCAAAACAGATGAAAAATGCACAAAAAACGGAACTAACTGTGCCGCTGAAATTATGGCATGGACAGTTATGACAGCATCTTTCACTTAGAACTTACAAACCTGCCCCTGACAGCATGAAGGACATGATATTTGAAAAAAAGATCAAATCTTCCATCTTAAGAGTTTTTTTAACTTTCTTTTGTTGCGCGTAGCTGTAAACTAGCAAGGTGCACCGGCAAATTAAATCGCAACTGTTATAGACGACGAAATACATGACTTGCGAGACATGAGAAGAGCAACACTGTCAATGAGTTAACAAAGTAGATTTTCTTTTTCAATCAAGCGTTATGAACCTTGAGTAGAGTTTTCGTAACCCCTTTACAGTAGCAGCCACTGTGGTATATATCTCTGGATTCGCGGGGAATCTTCCATGACATTCATCAATCAGCAGTTAAACGGTTGATTTATTATTCGGGAAAAAAAAATCACATCACCCTGTCTGATAACTTGCCCTTTAACATTTCCCTTCATGACGGTTTGGAGTCTTTCCTTAAGATCAGCTTCCTTCTGGAATTGTTGGTTCTCCTCTTCAAGAGTGATATATGACGATCTCCCTAGGAACACTCAATGTTAAACGATTTACACATTTGTCTCGTCATCTGGCACATGAAGTACAATACACACTGTCTGGTTTCAATTACAAACATATCATGTTTTAATCGTCACGCTATTGTTCATACTGAATGTCTCGAGTAAAGTGCAAATGTCTTCGTCGAGGACGTTACATCCAGTCATCTGAAATTGACTACTCAAGCGGGGACATCAGGTGAGAGAAACGTGAAGTAAATACGCTAGCCAAAATTCTCGGTGCTAATAGATTGATAGATGTGGAATCTGCCTCGAAAATCCTAGTTTCTCCGAAGCCATTGTCATTTAATATGGTGTAGAAACAACATTTACTTTTTCAATAGTACACAGACAGTGCTGAGATAATTTGTGGTGAGCGCTTAAGTAAACAATGTTTTTATGATCAACTTCAGTGCGCATTCAGGTGATCAAGACCGATCAAGAACACAGACTCAGGATATTTTGTTCTACGCTTTTTTCACAAATAGCATGAATGTGTTTGATTCCTGTCTCGGAAAAGCTGAAATACCTGTAAATGGCTTGCAACACGATACATCTAATTGGTAACGGCACTTTTTCAAACTTGGACGCTTCACTTTTCTATAATGCGAAGATCAGCGGTATATTACCTCTCCTGATGTGAAATTACTTAGAATTTCATAGCTATAGAACTCGTGAGGTTCGCAAACATATCATTCTGGTCACAAGAGGTAACAGATACATTTGACCTGTTGCTTCATAAAACAAACTGCGCAGACACTAACGGAAGAGAGTGAGACGAACTTGAAATTGCATGTACATTTAGTAGTTAACTGACGATATTGCATATGAACTTACGACTGAGATCTGGAGCGCATTCCCCTGGTTGTAGTAAGAGGCAGGGCGGAACTTCCTTCCCACATTTAAAATCCTGATAACCAAATTGTCCAATAATCTTATTCTGTTTGCTTTGCGAATAGTCTCGAGAAGGCTCTGCGTTCCCTACGCGCTTGTAAGACCTGGCTAGCGGTGGACGGCATTGTTTCACCAAAGCTAGTAAGGCTTTATCTATGTTTGTAAGCTTCCACAATAAAATTGAAGGATCAGAGAAAAGTCTTTGATTGAGTCGCAGACAAAAATATCTAATACTTTGCAACAAAAGTGGAAGAATTCTCTAACCTTTGCTACATGGTACAATCAAGTGCACAACGTCCTCTGAAGGTGAAATCGAGAAGTGAAAGCATATTTAAGTTGTCTAGAAGTTGTGAGTATTAAAAGCGTGTCGTTATAAGTGTTGGAAGTGCGAGATTCAATAAATTTTGTTCGAGATTGTTGCAGGGATCCCACGCTGTCGGAAACTGCACAACTAGATTCATTTGCTGGGACACCCCGTCTCCGCGGCCCCCCCTTAACATTGGTCTGCAACATGGCATAGAAACATTCGCAGTTAAACAACATTGGATGGGGAGGAGGGGCGAAAGAGCATCATAGACGTTGTTCTGGAGAAGTGTCCAAGTTAGGTCTGCCGGGGAGTCAAGGTGATTTCAAACAAAGCCACCTTTCATTTCGAACTTGTGTCGTCCAGATGACATCACAAGTGGAATTTGGAATAAATTCAGACCCAGTCCTAAAACAGCTTTTATATCTGAACGCGAAAATTTTTATTCAAGCCGATATTATTTTCAAGTCTTACTTAAAAGAAATCGTCGTCATTCTTAAATGTAGGGTAATTCAGGTAGACACCTGGTAATCAGTCCACCAGACAAATTTGAAATGTTCCCTGTTATGACAACAGACTGCGATACAAAACAGACAAAGAAAAGACGCCAGTATCAAATGACTCGAGACGTTTTCTCAGATCTGGTGGAGGGTTTCTGTTTCTGAAGATTTCTTTTAAGCTTAGTGATAAAATATATCGAAGGCGTTGTGAGCC